AAAAGTGTTAACAAATAAATAATTAAATGCAATACAGAGAAGCATAATGAATGTAATATGTTTTTTACATATTGTTTATAACTTCAGTATTTTAAATAGTATTTTTAATTTTTTATCCAAATTCATCCAATTATGTTAAATAAACCTGGTTCTGTAATATGTAAAGAGCAAGGGTAGGTACTTACCTCACTAGAGTCTTATGAAGCAGTCGATTGCAATGTAAAGTTTTACTGTTTATCAAATAATAAATTGAATGGTTCATTTTTTCAAGCGATATTGTCTTATTTAAACTACTGAATTTTAGTAGCAAAGATCTTTCCTTATAAACACGAGATCACTTTTACATATTCAATTATTTAAATACAATTTTGCGATATCGACTCCTATAAAGTGACTTGAAAGATTTCTTTTAAGTTTTTTGAAATGCCAGGTTTCAAAAGATGAACAGAACTGTTTGACAATTTACGATATCTATATCTCGACACATATTTAATACTTAAAAAATCCTGCACCTACTTTCTGCCGAAAAACACAGTTATCAATGTTCGTCTATACACCATACTTTTTTCTATAAAACCGGATTGATATAGGTACATTACTATACTATGAAGTGACCCATATTGTAATTAAATCTATTTTTCCGATAAATATTTGTAATTATTTTATATGCTGCTCATTTTTCTTTATTGGTTAAATAGTTTTTTCCCTATATCTAAATAGATTTTAATATGGAGCACTGTATGTAAAATAATAGATTTCATTGATTAAGAAATCCTAATTCGTTTCTTTTTGAAAACAGGCATGTTGTTGTCATACTCTGTAATATCGTTTTCAATACAAAAATAGGATTTTTGCTATTTTTGTTCAAGGCAAATGTTTGTATTCCGAGAAAATAATATTTAGGATACGTTTTATTAAATACTCAAACGATTTTTGAAAGACGTAAGCAATCTTGGTATTTTAGTTATTTCCTGTACTTAAAAACAAATTTAAATATTAATAATATAAAATTTTGTGAATCTTGATGAACTAAATTTAATGTCAAAAACAAAGTGCCCTGAATGTACACATTACCTTTTATTTAAGTAAATGAAGCTAACAGAATTTTTTTTTAAATAAAATTTTCATATGTAATACGTGAAAATATGCTTGAATTCAGTACTTATGTGTTTACATTTTGTACATGCATAAGAAGTCTATTTATTTCCTCTGTGAATTAAAAGTTATTTTTAACTTATACTTATGTGTTATGTTCTTCTGTGATATGACATAAAATAACAGGCATTTTCTAAAGTCCGGGTTTTAAGGATGTTTAAATTTCTTATAATCTTATATGATACCGTAATGAATTTGATTTTAATTTGCAATTAAATTCTAAAATTGTATTTTCAAAACTAATGAGAATTATTGAGAAAAAACAGTAAGCATAGGCAATTGTTTATAATGTAATACCTTTCTCAAAAATTGGAGAAGGTTTTCCAAAAATTTTTAACTCGTTTACATGCAGATAGAAAACTTTACCAAAATTATAAATTTGCTACTTTCCAAATAGATACGTTTCAAGACGACAAACAAAATGTTACAAGAAAATTTTCTCTATTTCTTATTCTAACCTGTGTTCTTATTCCTTAACTTTACATTAAAGGAATCGTTTCAATGTACAACGAAAATGCTGTTATATAATACAGTTGATTAGTTGTGATTTTTACAAAAGTTAGTAGTGCTACTAAACACAATTTTGAATTGCTAGTAACAGAGACGTGTACATACATTGAGCAAAAGTGTATAATTTGTGATATAAATTACTGTTATGTTAGAAGGGGTCATGTGAATTGGGGTGGATCATACATATGTATTCATTAAATAATTATTTTAGCAGAAGTTATTAGGAAAGTAATAAGTAACGACGTTTCTGCTTTCACTAAGCTTTATTTTTGTTAAAACGTCAGTTTAGGCTTTTTTTTAACGGAGACCGGAATTTGTATTTCAGAATTATCTTTTCAACTTTGTGGAGTAATATAGACAGAACAGAATACATTATTTGTGCAATTAAAAAAAATCGAACAAGACAGAAGTACCGTATACAAAACAAGTCATTTTGTTTATATGAAATAGACCCACCTCATTCAAAATTCCCCTGTATACATACAATGTGCAGTTAGTACTTACCCAAAAGCCACAACTAAAGAGAATCTATGTATTGAAAAAAGGAAAGGATAGGTGCCCAACATAAGTAAAAAGTGTAAATGCAGAAAAGCTTTAATATCCAATATAACAGACACAATAAATAAATAAATATAATAATAAAAGTCAGTAACAAATATAAATTTATACACATATACTCTAAACACTAGTACATAATGACCAGAATGAGTTTGATAAAGGCTTTAACCTTAATGTATTAAAATAACAAGAAACACTTTGATACAGCTTAGTATTTTCGTAATAAAATATCTGAAACGTTGAAGCGGGAAAAACTAACACTACGTGATTCATGTCACAAATTTGTTATAGCAATAAGGCACTTCGGAGTCGATAATTGAAAAATTGAAATGAAAAGTACGTACAGATAACTGCTTATACATTGGCAGTGCACAAAACTATTTTGTTAGACCACCACCATCTTATTTTATATATTGGGATCGGCGCTCACCTGGTACTTGAAGAGTTGCAGTTGTATTTGCCGTGCCCACAGGATTCGTCGCAGTGCAGGAATAGGTTCCTGCGTCCTCTGAAAAAGGAACTGAGTTAGATAAGGACTTCTAGGCTTGCTGTAAACTTTGACAAAAGAAAGTAAATAGATATATTATCTAGAAGAAAATATCAACATTTATGGCGATATTAAAAAGACTAAATGAATAGCTCATTATATGAAGCAGTCAGGTCTACATCATGCCATCGAGCGGTTATGGATTCTCTTGCCACCTGGTCAATTTAATTTGTTTCGGTCTTGGCTAATCGTTCTCAATACATCACCTATAATAGAGACAAGGTCTGATTTTGAAGGATTTTCATGATATTAAGGTTTTAAGATCCATATTGCTCTCTTGTTTGGAGCCCTTATTATGAAAATCAAGTTAGATCGATCGAGAAAATTTCTAAACTGACTTCTTACGTAATCAGTTTGGTCTTAACTCGTTAGATTTTAGGAGACATCGACTGTCCAGAAATTCTTAACCAAATTTATTTTCTAGTTTTTAGAATGTCAAATCGTTCTTGGTCTACCTTTCATACTCCTATAGCTAGATTGTCAGGATATTTAATAACAATAATTTGTAATAGGTGTGACAATTCCAACTGATATTTCTTACAGAGCTTTTTGATGCAACTAACAACAGGTTTATTTAATTGTTAGTATATCTAATGGTAGTGAGTAGAATATTTTCATGAATTTTTTTTGTCCTTTTTTTTGAGTAATGCTGTGCTCTTAGTGCATTTTTTTCTTTTCTTCAGTTTAATACTTGTATTGGATTGTCCTGTAATTGGTTATACTGTTGGACAAATAAAGTATTATTATTATTACTTATTGTACCAAAATTAAACTGAAGCATGCGTTGTCTACTCTTTACGTCAGATTATCATTGTATAAAGAATATGTCAATTTCAAGAATGACTATCTACTAAAAATGAATATCGAAGTTTTAGTAATTTGATAAATATGTAATAACATAATTTTACTGACATTTTCTTCATTTTGTAGATTCAACTTGTCATGTTATAAGGTTTAACTTTTGAACTTTACCTCTAATTTTAACAGTTACTGAATATCAAATTTATGATATTTTTGCGAAATATTCGTACTTAATTATTGATTTTTATATTTTTTGGATTTTTGCAAAATATGTCCCAGGCGACTTCAGTAATTCGAGTGAACTTAAGGATTTTGAACAGTATTTAAAATGTCACACCTATGTTAATTTTAAAAAGACGTTGGCTGCTTTACCAGTGGTGTGGATACAGGTTGAGACAAACAATTTCGTTATGTAGGAAACTTAATGTCATCATCTTTTTCATAATATTCATAAACTTTAAGTCGATTGGAGATTTAACTCGTATCACTTTTTGCCATATTTTCGAATGAAGATTCTCCCCACAAACTATGATACACGTAAAATATTTCTTTTTTCTTCAAATATTATGTTATTTAAATTAAGAGATGTTTCTTAATTTTCAAGCAAACAATACAATTTAGTCTCATTGTGTGTTTATTTATAATATGTAATTACAAAGCAGCTATAATTCTGATTTTAACATTTGCCAAATATACAAGTACATACAATTTACTGCAGTTTTCTCATATTTTTGGAAATTATAAAATTGGCTTTATTTATTATCATGTTCGTCCTTGTAGAACTTTGGGATTATAATATTTACGTTTTATTGCCAGATTAGAATGTTCATATTAATATGCGTATTAAAATGTCTTGTAACTGAAATATTTTGAAACACTTAGCAAAGCAGAATCCGGCTCTAGAAATTTTTTGGACAATTTTATATTTTGGGATAAATGCTGGGCTGCTATTTTGAAATTATGTTTTTAAATTCTGATTCAGGGGAATTCTTGTAAAATTTCAGTAGATTAAAAGGTTTCTGAAAAATATAAAAACGTCCAAGTGAAGTAAATACAGGTGCTAACTGAATGTCAGTCTTACCTTACGGCAAAAAATATGTCTTAATTGTGAAATTACTACAAAACAAAGTGTTTTTGGCATATATAGGGTGTCCCAGTACTTGATACAAGAAAGTCGAGCACAAATAAGTTTCTCTTACATCAAAAACAAGCTCTAAAATTCTGCAGCCAAAAGTACGTCTGAAACATTTTTTTCGGTTCATCGGATAGATGGCGTAAATATGCATGGTGCTTGGGTAAATATGTTCGAATACCAAGTTCAATTGTAACAAGAGATATAATGAAATTTTTATTGCACTTCTTATAGCTTTAGTGCAAAATAATTACATTAACGTATGCCATGATTGCAGACCATTTTTGTAAATATATTTTTTTATTTCTAGTGTAGGTTCATACATATAAAACACATATTTTTTTATTGTTGAGATATCCTAAGCAACCCGAATGTCAGGCATATTGTATTCCTAGTACTATTTAAGTTATCTAGCCCAAGAACTTGGCGCCGTTTTCTGTTGTTGTAAATTCCTGAATGCCAAGAAAACATTTCGACTAGTGCCAAAGGCTTACCTGGATACGCTTGTGAGATTGTCAAACGGCAAACACCATTTCTGTAATGTAACTGGTGATCATTCGAGTTGTCTATAATTCGTCCGTTTTTGGACCATAGAATATTCGGGGGCGGTTCTGATTGTACGATACATTCGAATTTCGCTGCTTGTCCACTGACTACGGCGATATCACGTAAAGGCTGAAAAAGGAAGCAAAATTATTTACATGTATACCTAAATGTAGATAATATAGTATTTGTTATGGTGTTCTAATATGAACCAAATTTAAAATACACCTAGTATTTGAGTAGCATATTGCATCAACAGAAAAAAAATTCTTTATCAAGCAGTATTTGTTATATTTTTTAGATTAATTTAGAGGAAGACTACACTAAAATATCTCTTTTGCAAACGTTACAATCATTGCGTAGAAAATTTTAACAAAATACGGATATTGAACACAGAAAAAACATTATCAAGGAAATTCGCACGATTTTCCTGTTGAAATTATCATTTAGGCACCTCGTATTTTTTTTATAAGCAAAAAACAAATGACGGTTTAAGTGCTGACTGGTATGAATCAATAGTATGTATCTTGATACAATAATTTGTTGTTAACAATATAAAAAATATGTATGCGATCAGTATCTATAGATGATATTTTTTTTATTTAAGTGCATTTTGGTTTTTCCGAATTTGTCGTCATAAGATCTGAAATTTTTCTTTAGAAATTATATTAAATAAACATAATAAAATTTCTGTTTTCGTCACAGACAACATTTCCCATAAATTTGATGCTTAACGTTCTCCAAACTAAATATTTTGAGAAAAATCAAAAGGAAATTCGAAATATTTGTATATTCGAAATATTTGTATAAATAGATTACATTGTACGTAGGATTCGTTGATGTGATATATTTACGACTTTGTTTCTTTACTTACAATGCTTATGCCGTATTATCCCATATTATTAGAACACATTGTAAAATAAAATAAAATAAAATAAAGTTGGTTGGATTACAAGTTGTAAAAGTGTTTCCGTTTCTTTTAAAATATACGGTAACTAAAAATTGCTACAAACCCGGTTATAGAGAGAAAGATAGAAATGTCTAGTGCAAGTTCTTAATAATAAAGAGAGATAAACATTGCATTCTTGCCAAGTTGCTGGAGAACTGAAAAATCTAAAAAAGTAATCTTCCACATATTATATTTTTCAGTAAACTCAATGACACTGATTGTGAGTGGCAAAAACATGATTGTACAATAAATGATATTTTGGACTTAACTGAGGTATGCTTTAATTTGATATTGTTACATCGTTACAGAAGTTTACAATCATTGTTTAATCAGTTCCAATAAATACCCACATGTACGTAAGACCTACTTACCGTTATAAATATTGGCGCTCGGGCTTGTCCAGGTTGAAGAATAACTTTTCCAATAGTACTTCCCGGGGTGCTAGGACAACTGGGAGGAGTTTCAGCACCTTTTCTACCAGGACCTGTTTGATACAGAAATTGATTTTAAAAAATAGCTTTTCATGAACAAAATTTTATTCTTTTAATAGTATTTTGCTTTTTTTAAAAAAAACTCCAAATCATTGTTATAAGGCCTTTAAAGAATAAAGTTTTTGTGTTAAAGTTAAAAGCCAAAAATGTATATTATCCAGAGACCCGTCTACCTACACCACTTAACAATCAGTACTAAAGTGACCAAGGAATCTTTGTTTTTTTTAATATAATAAGAGCAGTCGGAAAATATCATTAATGCTCTTTTGAGACTAAATATGCAATCCCAAAACGTTTGCATCAACCTATATTTTTTACGTAAAATTTCGCGGTTCTGCTTAGTCTAGGCCTGGTGTAACCTTGCAGTAAGATGTCTTTGAAGTTGTCTGTAATGTAAGATCACAAAACGTTTATGCGATAAAACGAAAACAATACTAAGCTCGCAATTTTTTTTCATATTCTGGTTAATCAAACTAGATCTAGTGTTTACATATGTAATACTGATGTTATTTACTTGGTTAATGTAAGTTGATTCAAAATTTATAATTGGTTTTGCATTTCGAACATTCAAATTTGGTGTTTTGGACACCACTCCATATTTTAACCCCAGCGAATGCGGCTCTATGAATGTATCGTTCCAAATATCTTATTTTCCATTAATGAAATAAATATCATAATTAAAAATTACCTCTGGGAAATTGTGAAAGAAGTAATTTTTAGCTATAATTGAAAATTTGTCTAATGCTCGCGCACAGAGATGAAATTTATAACTTTAACTTTTCGTCATTGAAGAATATTAATATACTTACATAACCTGTAGCCAGTTCTATTTTAATAGATTTTAATGACTATTGCATATAAATATAAATAAAGAAAACGATATTAGATTTTCTTATTGTTAAGGCGGTTTTCCACTAAACGGACAAAACAAAAACAAAACACAAACTTGTGTCGAATAAAACAGAACTGTAACTTTTCGCAAACTTTTTGAAGACTGGCGTGTTTTGCGGCAGTTGGAGTTTTGTTTTTCGGGTCCCGCTCGAAAGCGGTCACATCAAAAGGTTTCCACGTGTTTTGAAATTCGAGTCTGTTTAGTGAAAACGGTCGTGTTGTGTTTTCTATTTAAGTGATCCAACCCAATATCTATGTTGGCGTTTTCTTCTTCCCAAAAACAATATTTTAATCATTAATGAATTATAACTATTAAAAAATATATAATTATGTGTACGGTTAAAGTGTTTACTTGGCTAGGATACAAACTAACCAAGTAAACTGTTTAACCGTACATATACCACGAACTCCATCGATGGATATCTGGGAAACCACTCGAAGGATTTTTTTGAAATTGTGATGGCGTGATACGGACTGTGGAGCCTACCAAGCTAAAATATTTTCAAGGTCATCGTATTTCCAGTTATACCACAAGTTGATACTAACTTTCTTATTTTAAATGGAACCCCCTGTATGTTATTGCAAAAAAAATAGTGGTTTTCATTTAAAAATTTCGAGTTTTCCACATATCTGAACTTCATATTGATATTTTTTTTGATCACCCTGTGTAAAAACTGGAAAATTTTCATGTCAAATTCGATAAAGTAGGTCTTTCTCTACAAAATGTCCAATTTGCACAAAAAAATAAACCGGGAAAACTAAATTTTGCTGACAGTCTGCATCTGTTAATTTTTGTTTAAAAATCGAAATATCTCGGAAACGGTCAATCCTAAGTATGGAGTGTGCTATATGTTTTCAACTTAAAAATGGATGATGTTTCCAAAAATGCAATAATATACAGGGGGTTCCGTTTAAAATAAGAAAGTTAGTATCGACTTCCGGTGTAACCGGAAGTACGATGACCTTGAAAATATTTTAACTTGGTGGGCCCCATAGTCCGTATCACACCATCACAATTTCAAAAAAATACTTAGAGCGGTTTCCCAGATATCCATCGATGGAGTTCGAGGTGGGACACTGTAGACACACTTTTTTCCAAGGACTTCAGTATAATCCAGCCATAACTAAGAACAAAAAAATCTTCTCAAAACATGTTGCCTGGTTGTTGGAAAAATGTGTTCTGACTTCCTCGCGACAACCAGTGGAAAATGACTGAAAACAAAAACAAAAACAAAACTCGAACAAAATGTAGCCCGCTTGATGGAAACAAGAGTTTTGGGTTTGTTTCAGTTTTGTTTTTTTTTTGTTCTAGGAAACACAAACAGGACATAAACTCGACTGTCCGTTTAGTGGAAAACCGCCCTTAGGTATTTATTTGACGAAATGGTGTTCTTTAATAAATAGGTATGTGTTTAAAAATATGGAAAACACTGAATTAGATGAGCAAAAGATCTGCTTTGTCGTACATCGAATTATTCTGCAATCATAAAAAACTGCTGTAATAATATGAAAAATAATATCTTAGAAAGTTGTAAAAATAAGAAATAATACTAGTTGACACAGGTAATATTTCTGCCAGGGTATTTGTCGATCTTTTTGACATACATTAGCTTCTATATATAATTTAGAGAACCGTATCCAGTCGTTAACAGCCTAAATTACAAATATTTGGCAAAAGGTGTTGGCTAATTTTAAAAACCTAATACCTGATAGTTGAAGTTTTTTTAAATTTCTCTGCAAGTTATTTTTTCATTTATTGGATTGCTCTAGGAACACAGCTATTAGTATTTAAAGCTTTCAAGAATCAAGATTTCTTCTTGGTTAATTGTATAGCGCCAATTTTGAGGTGCCTACAATAAAACTACAATGGCATTTTTTTTTAATTTTTACAAACTCTAGAATAAAAAGGAGCAACATATGATATTTGATAAAGGCGAGTACGATGGTTGGAAATCTCCTGTTAAGCTATGTTCAATCCTTAATAAAACAAACTGCATAAACATATCCTATTTCAAAAATAAGCTTTACGAACATGCAAGAACAACCGAAGAAAAAGAAAGCCAATAAAAGCTCGTAGACCTTTGTTACTGAAGCCGATAGAGAAGCAAAGCCGTTCAACCCGCACACCAAATACCTGCGAAAGTACTGTTAAAAGCTGGAGAAGTGCTAGGTAAACTAGGCGACAGTGACACGGGACTACATGAAGATGGCTCCCATCTCGAACCTGGTAGTAAGTTGGTCCTGTTCCTGTCACCCTCGTATTCGGACATTTCACTTTCGGAAGTCGGTTCCCATTTGGCCGGCTTGCCCGACGGGGTGAACTTTTTTGGTTTGAATTGGGGTGTGGGTGCGTTACTGGTGTCTTGCTTAGATTTTTCATGGTAGACCGGCATTTCTATATCTACCGTTCTCTTTGGGGGCTCTATTACGGTTTTCTTCGGCACTGGTATTTCGCCTTGTTTACTTTCACCCGGTAAGATTATGCCAAATTCGTAACCGAAATCGTACTTAAAGTATATTAGACCAGTGTCCGGATCTACATGCTTGGTTCCTACAGAAATAAGGTTAAATAAACATCCCATGAACTTAGTAGTGTCGTGTTACTTTAAACGTGCAAGCGTATTACGAGTAAGTAGTATAATGTGATTAGTCTAAGATCGTCATACAGGGTGATTTCGTAAAAGGTACAATAAATTTAGGAATTGATAAAGCATCAAAAAAATAAGACAAATTTTCTCTCTGAACCATAGGCATGTCGCCTTTTGTTTGTAAGACACAGGGCGTTAAACTTATTTTTTTTATCAAATTTTAGCCACATATTTTCCAAAAGACATTGTAATTTAATGCAGGTATTTTTTTGAGGATATTAGAAACATCAGTGTTTGTTGGCTACGTGATTTCCAATATTTTCTGTAAAATTTGAATTTACTCAAAGAAGGGCACTCTTGAAATTTCCGAAAACGTAGCGTTTTTGACAAAAACGCAACTGGCTACACGAGGGTCTACAAGTTTTTACTTCTTAAAATACGGAGTGTCCAGAATAGAATGTACCATTTATCAAGTGCAGCTGCCTTAGATGAAAACGATCCGATTTAGATCAAGTTATTTTAATCAGTATCATTTAGTTTAAAAAGGATATAAACAAATATTTTTAATATCCGATAATATTTTAAGGGAGAAGAATCGATTTATTTTCATCCAACGAAGACATCTTTGTAGCATTACCCATTCGTTTTCGGATACCCTGTATGTATTAAAGAGTTGACAGTCGTCCGCATTTCTCTTAAAAACGGTACATTTTCTCTCAAAAACGGTACATCGATTTCTAGCATATGCTGAAAAACTAGTACCATCGGTGTATTTAGCACTCAAAAACTTGCCAGTACCAAATTTCATAGCATTATTATATTGTTTTTTGAAAAAGATACAGACAAAATTCGATTTTAAAAAAACATTTTTCATGTCTTGTGTCTCAACAAAGTCGATAGATTCATGGTTCATACAAAAAATATTCTTATTTTTTTACATTCTATCAGTTCCTGAATATATGGTAATTTTCCAAAATAACATGTACAAGAAATAAATTCATTCTTTTAATGTAAATTTTAATATTTAAAAGCATTGTTAATTCAATTATGTATGTACTTTTTAATTCTCTTTTGCAAGAATCTATTAAATATTCATTTTAACAAAGCACAGTAAAAGTCATATATAAATATTTAAACTCTTATTCTCTAAAACTAAAAAAATTATTTTCAATTAAATCTCATATCCTGAAATGTTGAACATTTCTGAATCATTGGAAGAAATAAATATTAAGTACATAGTTAATATAATCGTAAAGTTAATAACGTGTACGTTTTGTTAAATTTTCTCTTAAATTAATTCAACAAAGCATAAAAGTGTACTAAGGTTAGGGTACTGTTTTTATTATGTTTATAACCCCCTTCTTATACGAAGAAAAAATATATAGTAATTAACGCTCAAACATGTCGACTTTTGTCGATTTTTGAATTGATCAAAGCCTCCTTAGATGCAAAAATTTCATCCGAGTTCTCAATGCTAACACGTGCATTTTAAATTTTTTGAATAGTCAAATATATCAAGTGACATTGCAGTTATAAGGACTTAGTACTTTGAAAAAACAGTTTACCTTAAGTTTTGTTAAAAAAATTACTTTTATGCAGTTACTTTAAAATGTAACATTGCCGACTAAAAAGTGCATTAATTGATTTTAAAACTTCGAAGATCACGAAAATGACTTTATTTTTACCAAAAAGTGAATGGAGGACATTTAGGACATCTTTGCCACCATGCCAGTGGCGACATAAAATGTAATAGATAACTTCAAAGCATTTAAAAAAGCGCCAATCCTTCGTTATTAAAAAAATAAATAAATAGTTGCTGTCACATATAGGCATTCCCATCACACATAAAATTTTCATATCAATGTATGTTTTCATCAAATCAAAATCGATATGTCCGAGCGTTTATCTATTTTCCTATAAAAAAAGTCGCACTGTTTTATTAAACAGCTTTTTTTAATATGTAAGAGCTTTAGTGGCTTTTGTGATTCAATTCACAAAAGACACATTCTGTTATTAAACATCACTAAATCATAACATGTCAAAGCTTATCAGTTGTACAGTAAATTATACTTAGTACTGTTAGTTGTATTAATAATAGTTACCAATTAATAATATTTGAATTCTACCACTTTCAAGTGGCATATTTTTATGAAAGTTATTTGGACATCACGCTACATTTACTTTGTTTGTGACATTGATAAAGATGTTTTCCATTAGTTTGAAAATAGAGCCGTCTATATTTGTTAGTCAGTTTGACATAGCAATGAAGTAAATATCCATCAAAATTAATATTATATTATATTCAAGATTTGTCAACTAGATTCAATAATTCAACCTATCATAATGACTATTTCTTTCATTAATTTTGTATGTATTAAAAAATTGATCGTGTTGAAACTTGATCACAATGGCAACTACTTTTGAATACACAGTACAAGTAATCAAGGCCTAAACATAAAATTTTATTTAAAATCTTTTAGTACGATTACAGTTTGCAAGAAGTCCCTTCGTCTTTACCCTCAGAAACATCGAGTAACGACAAACATTAACTGCTGTTATTTCACACACAATAAGTACATGGCACTTACCATACTGAGCTGCTCGAGTTTCTTCCCTGTACACCTGGGCATCTCCATCTGCAGCTGTCTTCAATATTGGCTTCTGCGTCTGTTGTTGCCTCATGTCGCCCATAACATCGTTTACAAATTTCTGAGTCTTAGATTTGAATGCTTGCGTCATACTATCCATATGATGACTAGCGATTTTGGTGGCAGTGGATTTTGTTAGTTTCTTGTCGGCAACGTATCCGTACTCGGGAGGAGTACCAGGATGCAGTGCGGGTTCATGAGAGTAACTTCTCTTCACCAGTTGGTGACCCGATTTGGTCTCGGTAAATTTCTTGTACATAGATTCATGCCGTCTTGACTGACTGTCTACCACATCAGAAGTAGAAATTTGAGATGGCATTAAAGGTGGTTGAGTATCAAATTCCATCGGCGTTAAAACTCGCTGTGTCGGTGCTGGGACACTAGAAGATCGGGCAGAAGCTGGCGCCCTTACTCTTCTATACTGCAAGTTTTCTTCCCCAGTGCCTCTTGGAGTCCACTTGGGTTTAATTTTTGCGCTGTCAACCTCGCTTTCATAGTCGCTTTCTCGGAACTCTCCGGGTAAGAATTTACTTGGAGTTGGAGGAGGTGGTACGCTCGTAGCTCTTCTGGAACGTTCTGGTTCTGGTTGATATGGGAACGGTTCTAATTGTTGTTCCTGCTTCTTATATTGGTCTCCGAATTTAATAACTTTGTGGGTTTGCTGCACGCTCATTGTTCGGTGACAGTTTTCTGTAGATTCGTTAAAATGCATTACGTTCGAAGTTTCCGTCTGAATCGCGTTATGGTAAGGAGCGCTAACAGTGGATCTATAGTACTGGGTGGTCTTCGGTCCTGGGGAATATCCAATTTCTGGGGGAGAACCTGGTTGAAGGATCAGCGGCTGAGCCGCTGGCTTAGCAACAATTAAGTCCATTACAGGAGCCGCGGCCATCGGTTTCGGCTTGAATACGGGTTTTGCTATAGGCTTTGCAACGGGTTTGAACTTCTCGATAGGTTCAAACTTTGGCCGTGGTGGTCCGTCTACTTGTGGAGGTCGATCAAATTCAGTTGGGGGTGTTGGAGTCCTTCCGTACTGTTGGTATTGTTGACTAGGAGTTAGTACAGGACGGACTGGTTTGTAACTTTTTTCAGTTTCAGTTCCCCAAATGGGAGGGATCCTTCCTTCATAATCACTTTCGTAATCACTTTCGCGGAAATCGCCCTTCACGAACTTTGAGGGGCTAGGAGGTGGTGGGCCTTTGGATTTTTTGGGTCTAGAAGGTTCAGGTTTAAATGGAAACTGTTCTAATTGAACGTGCCTCTCTTGTTGTTCATGAATTTGCTCAGACGTTTGACTTGTAATTATGGGGGTAGCAATTAGTTCCTGAAAATGAAAATAGTATATTAAGATATAGAAACACATATTAACAGAGTCATAATCAGTTTAGCCCTAACTTATAAAATCGTTTACTTATTACAAAAAAATAAATAAATAAATAAAAACATTATCCATATTAGTATTTTAATAATTTTCTACAGATAAATGCTTTTGGAGAATGAGAATCTTAAAAGTCAGACTTATAACATTACATATGATACGTAAAATATCCTGTATTTATTTAACTTTAAATAATTTATTTTTATTAATATTTTTGAACTGAATGGATTGAATAATTATTGTAAATAAAGTAGGTATTACATCAAAAGCATTTCTCTTCATCTGTCATTTCGCATCATGCAACTAGTTGTACATAACCAGGCGATTAATAAATAGTCACACAAAAAATCGACTTTCAGGCCCAGAAGTCAGACCGTGTTTATTATACGTTTTTTGGGTCGCTGAATCCGAATCCGATCCATTTAACCCCATCACCTCAAAAAAACCGATATTCTGAATAATTATACCATATAACCTTAAGACTCAAGCTTCCAGCGCTAAATCCGATTAACCAAATCCTATAAACATTTAACCCAATGATATCCCGACCTAATAAGCCCATGAACCCAAACCCCAATAACCCTATAACCCCATAACTCCATAACCAAGGGAATAAATCATAGATAATCTGTATTATTGTCAAATAGCACATAGCTCCATGAAAACCCTAGTACTGTAACCTAAAATGCATCCTATATATTGATCTAGTCATTTCACATGTCCAATCTTTTGATCTAGTCATTTTAGTAATATAATTTTTTAGGTTATCTATTGTTATCCTTTGGATTTTCATTTCATTTAATCTAGTCAAGAGAAATTCTTAATTTTATTTTTATTGATTAATTTATAGTACGGTCTATCCTACAAATTATAATTTTTTTGTACAACCACCTCGTTTTGTACACAGGGTAATGCTTATGCCGACTGTCCCACCAATTAAAGTTATTAAAAAACTAGATCGACTGTAACACTCGGTTCTTTGGTGAATGAGATCAAAGTACAAGGTAACGAAGTTGTGGTTAGGGAATCGTGGGGTTATGAATTGTAGGATTATGGGGGTTTGAGTGCATAGGTTTTTTAGATATCCTCGACCACATTAACGTTTAACCATAATACAGATTGCCTATGATTTATTAGTTATGGGGTCATGGGGTTATGAAGTTACGAGGTTATGGGGTTATAGGGTTATGGGAATTTTTTGGGTTTAAGTACTTGGGTTTTTAAGGATGATGTTTTGCAATAATACAGATTACGAATGATAATTCCCTTGGTTATGGGGTAACAGGGTTATTGGGGTTTGGGTTCATGGGCTTATTAGGTTGGGATATCATTGGGTTAAATGTTTATGGGATTTGGTTAATTGGATCCAGTGTTGGAAGCTTGAGTCATAAGGTTTTTGAGGTTATGAAAAATCTAGAGGTGATGGGGTTAAATGGACCTCAGATTCGGATTCAGCGACCCAAAAAACGTGTAATAAACATGGTCTGACCTCTGGTCCCCAAAGTCGATTTTTGTGTGGCTGTGTAATAATAAATCTAAATCAAATTAGAGAGACACAACACACACACACACATTTAGAAGAAAGCGAACCTTCTTTGATGAAGAAACAGATGAAGAATGATGTTTCTTGACTGGGAATTTAGAAACGCGAGGTTTGGAGGTAATGAATTTTTGGGAGCTTTCGATGCTAGATTTTGAAATATGTTTATACTCGGACCTCTCTTCTTTGGAGTACTCCGACGTAACAATCTTCTGCTGCCTGAAAGGTTCATCAGTGTCAGCCATATATCCGTCCAAAACAACCTTCTGCTTTATTTTGGGAGAGTCAGGCCTCTTCGCTGGCTGAACATACACAGGAGGTGAGGCTGGTTTAATTTTAGGTGGAGATATCTCTCTTCTGGGTTCTTGAAATCTGGTATGCTTTGTGAATTTTTTAGTTTGTGATGTTAATTTTGACCTTGTGAACTCATCGAAGTCGATTTCTGGTCTCGGTGGACCTTCAAATCGCGGAGGTTGATCGAATTTTGAAGGAGGTAGTGGTTCGCACTCCTGCGAGCGGGACCTACCAATATGTATTAATTTTGGAGCATTTACTCTTCTATAAGTTGGTTCTTCAGTGTCGCTCATGCTTGGTTTCCATTTTGGAGGAATCCTGACAGACTCAAAGTCACTTTCATAATCGCTGTCTGTGAATCTGCCTTTCACAAATTTTGAAGGAGTCGGAGGTGGACCAACTCTGGGTGGTCTTGGTTTTTGTGGATCTGGTCTGAAGGGGAATGGTTCCAAGTCCGGGAATTTTTCAAACGGAGTCGATTTTATTGCTACAATCTTCTTTGGAGGCTCAGAGCGTTTGAAAGGCTTTGCAGGAATTGGTGGAGCTTGAGGTAAAACTTGTTTTGGCGGCAGAGGCGGCGGTGCAGTCCAATCTTTAGGCGGTGGTATTGTCCTTACAGCGCAAGGAGGGACTTTAGCTGGTTCCAAATTTTTTTCCAGTTCTTGTTCAATAGTTCCCACATATGATTGACGTCTTTCTCTTGGAGGTTCTGCGTAACCTATTTCTGGGGGTGGTCCTGGTTCTAGATATACCTCATCTGTGATGTCCTGAACAGAAACTGGTCTAATAGGTAAAGTGTCAACAAAGGGTTTCGGTGGAGATGGAACATATTTTTGTACCGGTGTTGGTGAAGCTGGGGGCCATGATTTCTTCATTTCAGAAGGTTTAACATTACTCTCCTCCAAAATAGATCCTGAACCGCTCATTTCATAAGTTTCACTTTTTGAAAAGGAGCTATCGGAGATTTTTTGGTCAGTGACACTGCTTCCCAAACTACATACTTCTGCGATGTAGTGTTGTGTTGGAGTTTTGGTGACTTTTGTTTCTTTTACATATTTCTCGGTTTTCATTTCAACAGGAGTCCACTTTTTTTCAAGGGTGCTTTGCACCGACCAAGATGGCTGAATTTTTGGCTCTTCACTTTGTGGTGGTGGCCAGGATTTTTCCAAGTGAGTTTCTGTAAATTTATGGGCCCATTGTTTTTCCATTTGTAAAGCTTCTTGAGAAGGTTCTAGTAAACCGGACTGAGCAGATATAGGTCTACTGTAATATTGCTTATCTGACGTGGAATAAGCGGAAGATGCAACTGAAGCGGGCCTTTCCAAATCAGATTTCGGCGTCCAAACTTTTTCATAGGTTGGTTTAGGCGATACAGGTTTTGTGCTGCTCTCAAATGAATGACTGTAAGATGAGGACGAGGTCTGATAAGAAGATTGCTGATACGACTGTTGAGTTTGTGAAAACTCCTTTTTTTCTTCGAAACTTTTCGGAGGAGGTGGTGTCCACGTTGGTGCTTGTGGCGGTTCAACAGGAGGAACTTTGTATTTCGGCACCTCTTTATGCGTTTCTGAAATACGTTTTACTTTTTCAGACACAAGTTCCCTTTGTGTAGTAACCTCTGGTTTAGGAGCGTAGCAGATTTCAGCCGGAGGTTCAGGTTTCAATTCCAATTCCTGACTTATCTGCTGGGCAGAATATGTCTTATATTCTTGAGGCTGAATAATTTGTTGTGTAGAAGAGAATGATCTATAGTCTTGTGTCTGAGGTTGGCTAGAATATTCCTTTGTAATCTTTTGAGAGAAAGATTTGTATTCTTGAGTTACCGGCTGCGAGATTTGCTGAGAGAATGATTTGTATTCTTGAACCGTTTGCGGTGCTGATACTGGTTTTGGGGGAAGTGACGGAACTACCTTTTCTTGGACTTTTACGGGTATTTCGGTTTCCTTGTGGGTTTCTTGGGACGCCGTTTCGAATTTCTGATAAATTTCCGGTTTAATGGGTTCTGGAACGCTCACTTCTTTTTGTATGGTAGTAGTGGTGTCACCTCCCTTTATTTTTTGGACGAAATATTGAAGTGACGATTGCTTCGAAATTGAACTGGTTTCGATACCAGTTTCTTGAATCTCAGATTTTTTCTCCTCTGTCGTTTGTTGCTCAATGGTTTCCGCAGGGTGACATATTTCAAAATCAATATGGCGTTCTATTATTCTTTCCTTTGTGTCTACAGGTTTCGGCAAAGGTACGTCTGGCATGGTGTGTTCTAATTTGAATTTCTGGTACTCGTGCGACATTTTTTGTTCAGTTGTGGATGTAATTTCAGACTTGGAGGACATAGATTGGGACATTTGAGTGGAAGAAAGGGCTGAAACTGGTTTTTCGATTTTGGGGGGTTCTGGTACAGGCACAGGTACGGGTACAGGTTTCTGCGTAGTAATTGTTGATGACACCTTATCTGCAGCTGAAGTCTATGAATGGTGGAAGAAAGAGAATTAAAAGTATAGAGGTAAATGCTTAACTGAAATAGAATATTTGCAAGTGGATGTTAAAATGTCTTACCAGTGTCTCGTGCTTGCGGACGTCTTCAAAAACTACAGTCTTTACTACTTCTACCATGGTGTCTGGTGTGGGTTCGAAAACTGCAATATCAGCTATGCTCTGTGCTTCACCTCCAGAATTTACAGCTCTAACCATAAATCTACCGGTATGATTTAATTCAGCTGCAATAAAATTAGAGTTATATCATGCAATATCTACAAAATGCAGGGTTTAATTTACCTTTATCTATGACCAGAGTGTGAGAGGCGCCCATAGACTTTATTTTGTAGTTGTCTTTTAGACTTTCTGCTACTGGAATTCCATCTTTAAACCAAGTAACCGTTGGTTCGGGCGTACCGGTAATTTCAACCTCCAAATTCACTCTGTCCCCTTTTTTAATAACTTGGGCTTGCAAACGTCGTCCAAAAACAGGGGGGAATATAGTTTCTGCAAAAGAATTATTGTTAGTTTTTTGTTAACTTAAAATGTTGAATTAATGAAACTTACTTCGTACAACTAAATCTGCGGTACTAACAGCGGTTCCACCTTCATTTACAGCAGTGCAGGAATATCGACCGGCGTCCTCTATAGTAGCGTTTTTAATTTCTACTGAGGTTCGATTGTGTTCAAATTTAATTTTTATTTTTTCATTCGGCTTCAGCTCCTCTCCGTTCTTGGTCCAACTTATCTGTGGCGTTGGTTGTCCATCCAATATCCCTTCCAGGACAAGATCTACATTTTGATCGACGATTTTTCCGATCACTGGTGTTACAAATCTTGGCGGTCTAATTCGTAATAACGGCTTTTGAATTATTTCCAGTTGTTCCGACGATTTGCTCTGACTCTGTATGTCTCTCTGTTCTCCTATGGAGTAAGTAGTAGAAGACTTCTCATGGATCACAGGAGGCTCCTTTCCAATTTTGTGATATTCTTCAGTTCTGTGACTTTCTTTAATTTGTGGAGCTTCTTGATTTACCTGCTTAAACGATTGAGCGTTTTGTGACGTTATTTTATGTTCTTCGACGTGAGGTTCGGCGGATTCTGAAGATGTTATTTTACTTGCTTGAGATGAGGACGTTTGAGTAACTACTTCTCTATTAACAATATAAGACGTTTCGATATGTCGAGTTTTTTCAGTCTTCAAGGGCTCAAATGGAGACATGATGGGAACTGGAGATACTTTAATCTCAAAATCGGGCGCTGTTACTGCTGATGGGGGCTGAACTGTTAGTACTGCGGCACAACTAGCTTTACCCACTTCGTTTTCGGCAACGCACGTAATTGTACCGGAATGTTCTTTCTTCAGAGTAGGAATGGATAAAACTTGACGGTCTCCAGACGTAGATATTAAAAAGTCCTTTCCAGATATTGCGTCACCGTTAAATAACCATTTAGTTTTGGGCGCGGGTTTTCCAGTTACAATGCACTCGAATTTGGTGTTTGTATCTTCAAACGCTACTCTATCAGAGAACGTTTCTTTGAATTCGGGTGCCAATTTCAGTTCTTCGTGCTTCACAGTTTCTACCGGTTTCAAGGCCTTCACGATTAACTGAGCAAAACACTTAGCCTCCCCGACTGAATTAGACGCCTTGACTGTGTACACTCCCTTGTCTTCAGGACGGACCTGTTCGATTTCTAGCTTGACGTTACCTTCGTCGTCGTGCGTAATCTGGAAGTGCTGTGTGTCAGTAACCGGTAAGTTATTCAGCAACCACTTAATTTCGGGTTTTGGCTCCCCAACTACGTTTCCTTCCAAAATAACTTTGTCTCCCTCTGAGACTAAAATGTCCGTTAACAGTTTGGTGAACTTTGGCGCGGATCCAACGGGTTTTGTTGTCTCCTCTGATGGTTTAGTTTCAGCGTCCGATTCCGCGACGGGGGTAACACTTAACATACACTTGCTAGAAGCCTCTCCTGCGGAATTTAGCGCGACGACCTTATACTCCCCGGCGTCCTCGGGCAAAGCTTCCTGGATGACTAAGGAACAGCGGTCGCCTTGGAAAAGCAGCTGAAAATCTTGGGATTCCTTCACGGGCCTATCGTCGTGGTACCAAATCACTTCCGGTTCAGGTTGTCCAACTATGACACAGTCGAGACGAACGCGGTTTCCCTCGTTCACAGTGGTGTTTGTTAGAGGCAGCTGAATGGACGGTTTTACGGGTTCCATGTCGCTTGCCATTTCCGAGTCGGAGGTTTCTGTTGGCAAACGGCCTTTCACGGAAACGCTGCAGGAACTGGTCGCCTCCCCCGCGATGTTCTTCGCACTTACCAAATAAGTACCAGCATCTTTCGGGAAAGCCTCGTAGATTATTAGCGTCGCCTTGTTATCCTCAAACTGCAACTGAAACAAGTTATTTGCAGTACACTGTGGTTCGAGCGTATCATATTTCGCTACTATTTATAAACGGTGTGAAGAAATCATAAGAATAATAATTATGGTTATTTAAAAATATAACGATTTAATGAAATACACATTTAGGATATCTGCCAAGTCAAATCTAGGTAGATTTCTTAAATTAAAAATACGCTTTCCAAAATAGCTGCATAATGATTCAGCTTAATACAGGTATTAATAGCTAAGAGTGAATTATAAAATTTAAAGCACCCAAGGTTACTAATTCATGAAATAAGGTAAATAGTAAAACTCTTACCTTCAATTCGCGCGTTTCCTTCACTGGTTTGCCGTTGTGTGACCAAGTTAACGTTGGAAGGGGTAATCCAGAAACTTCACATTCCAATTTTATCTTTTGTCCTGCTCTAGCCATTACATTTGACAAAGGTGCAACGAAAGCAGGTGCTTCTGTGGGCTTCAAAGCTGTAATTTTAACATTGTAACATTATTTGTTTGCTCTACAGATGTCTATAAAATTTTGACTGGTAATGTATTTTTATGGATGATTGATTGTCACAAAAATAGAAGGCGCCTTTGTTTTTTTCGTAGACTTTTATTTTTATTTAAAAAATCTGATGTTTGAAATAATTTATACTTGAAATTTTTCTTAACTATAACTACGAAATAATAATAGGCTGTTGATTATAGGATTTTAAAAGGAACTATCATAGATAGGGGTGAAAATGCACCCCTTTAAGTTTTTTAATTGCAGCTCGAAAACAGAGCAAAATTTCTCTGTCGTAGGAAAAATTATTTAGAGAATTGAATTTCCCATCGAAATGACAAATGGAAATTATTTAAAAAATTAAAAAAAAAATAATCTAACAATTTCAAAAAAAGATTTTTTTTTTACTTTTTTGACTATAATTTATATTAGAAACGACTAAAATCTAAAAAATATTTAAGTTTGACCGGTTATAAATCAGTCAATATTAGTCCAAAAACTTTTGAAAACGCATCATTTTGAAGGGAATCTCATCTAGTTTTTATTTGTGCAGCAATTTTCTTTGCATACTTCTACTAAAAAAATGGAGTAAAAAAAGTAAAAAAAATCAAAAAACTATTTTTTTACTTTTTTAAAATTGTTTATTAACGATTTTTTGCATAAAATGTTTCTTTTAAATTTTTGAAATTAGCTATTTCGATTCAATTATCTACAAAATTTTTCCTATGAACTATACCGAAATTTTGCTTTGTGTTCGTGCTATATTTAAAAAACTGCAAAAGTGCATTTTCACCCCTATCTTCAATTTCAACCCTCTAATTTAATAGCACCCTGCGGTTTTTTAATTTTCAATGATCCTTCTAACAAGTCATGTGATAAAAATCCTTGAACGAATCCTTCATTTTTTGCAAAAAAATGGGAATTAAAACATATTAGAGTAAACGCGACTAAAAAATCGAAAAATTGGCCAAGTTTGAGCGGCCATATATCAGTCAATTCTCATCCAAAAATACTGTACAACCTCTTTTTTTGAAGAAAATTTTATCTACTTTTTTATGAAGGCTATACTTATATTTAATTAAAAAAAAAAACAAAATAAAAAAATCGAATTTTTTGCTTTTTTCAAATAGTTTATTTAACGATATTTTGCATAAAAGTTTCCTTTTAAATTTCTTAAATAAGAAATTCAATTCTCTAAATAATTTTCCCTATGAACTATAGCGAAATTTTGCTTCGTTTTCGAGCTACAATTAAAAAACTGAAAGGGGTGCATTTTCACCCCTATATCCAATTTCCGCCCTCTAATTTAATAGCACTCCGCGGTTTTTTAATTTAAAATGACCCTTTGAAAGATTCATGCCCTATCTTTCCTAAAAAAAACTAGAGGCAAAAAAGTAAAAAAAAATCAAAAATCTAATTTTTAGTTTTTTCAAATGTTTATTAACGATTTTTTGCATAAAATTTTCCTTTTAAATTTTTTAAATGAGCCAATTCGGTGGGAAATTCAATTCCCTAAATAATTTTTCCTATGAACTATAGCGAAATTTTGCTTCGTTTTCGATTCATGCAATAAAATTGTTTGAACGTCATCATAGTTCCTTTCAACCCTGTTTTTTGGATATAATCAATAGCTTATAAACTATCAATAGCTTATAACTAACTATATTGAAGCTATACAGGTTGTGCTATGAAAATTTATATANTTTTTGACTATAATTTATATTAAAAACGACTAAAATCTAAAAAATATTTAAGTTTGACCGGTTATAAATCAGTCAATATTAGTCCAAAAACTTTTGAAAACGCATCATTTTGAAGGGAATCTCATCTAGTTTTTATTTGTGCAGCAATTTTCTTTGTCTACTTCTACTAATAAAAAATGGAGTAAAAAAATGTAAAAAAATCAAAAAACCTATTTTTTACTTTTTTTTTAAATTGTTTATTAACGATATTTTGCATAAAATGTTTCTTTTAAATTTTTAAAATTAGCCATTTCGATTCAATTCTCTACAAAATTTTTCCTATAAACTATACCGAAATTTTGCTTCGTTTTCGTGCTATATTTAAAAAACTGCAAAAGTGCATTTTCACCCCCAAACTTCAATTTCAACCCTCTAACTTAATAGCACCCCGCGGTATTTTCATTTTCAATGAACAAGTCATGTGATAAAAATCCTTGAACGAATCCTTCATTTTTTGCAAAAAAATGGGAATTAAAACATATTAGGGTAAAAGCGACGATAATCGAAAAATTGGCCAAGTTTGAGCGGCCATATTCTCATCCAAAAATACTGTACAACCTCTTTTTTTAAAGGAAATTTTATCTACTTTTTTATGAAGCAATAGCTATACCTATTTTTAATAAAAAAAAAAACAAAATAGAAATCGAATTTTTTGCTTTTTTTCAAATAGTTTATTTGACGATATTTTGCATAAAAGTTTCCTTTTAAATTTCTTAAATAAACTATAAACTGAATCGATGGAGCTTACAGTATGTTTGCTTCAATAAGCGAATTTTCAACATAACAATATACCAATAATTCAATAAAAAATTCGATCAGTTATAATGACAATAGAAATACATATAGTTTGAATAAATAAATAGCTGAAGATATAACGTAAATTTACTAAATCAATAACCATAATATATATCCTAAAGTAGGATTTAGTAAATTATTTCGCATTTGAGGCTTTTGCTCGTTTATTACAATTCCAGCGGAAAATTAATTATTCTTCTTAAAATAAAATGAAAATTGTTTTCTTTTAGGCATAGATACCTCTCTAAAAATACAGTCATTTGTATTCTATTCTTAAATATAAGCACGTATAGCTGTTATGTCGATTTTCCGAATACTTTTTGTCATAGCAATGGGTGAATAAACTAAGTACTAAAATTTTAAAGCATTAATCATCTGCTAAATATACGAAAAAGCTGTAAGTAATTTCGAAATATTAACAACACGAAAGACAGGTCATCCGTTCTTGTTATAAAACAGGTAGGTGGAAATTTATTTGCAGAAATTTTAAAAATAGAAATTCCGCCATAAGTTCTGTAAACGATATTCGGTTTCAGTTAGGTTTCAATTAAATTTTCTACCTGTGATCCTTTACTACATTAAAGACATACAGCAGGTACAGATTTTATCTACTGGCAAAAATAAATAAATTTAACACACATACATACAAACATACTCGGTTTGCCAACTCTGACGCATATCTTGCCAACAGGTTTTTTAACCTAAATTACTCTTGTTGTTCTCTTAATCTATTTTTGATGGAGTTAAATATGTCACTATACTCAGATTACGTATTTTGATAAATATATACTTTTTCCCATATTAGGACACATACAGGGTGTCTCAAGAATTCCACAGCGCGCGGTGGAGTATAGAACTGCAAAAAAATAAAGCGAAAATTATCTGTACAAAAATCTCGAGACATGTCTTCTAAACTTCCAAAAACACTATAATTAAATTAACGGATAATAAGGTATATTTGAGTGACGCCTAATATCAATTTGTCCTTAATAAAAAAAATTGTTTAATCTGTGAAGTTTTCATTTGAAATGGAACTTTAAAGTCTAATAAATTATTAGAATTTGCCAATACTTTATCAATATGAATCGCCATTTTAATAGTAATTATTGTAAAGTGTGACTACTAAGAAAAAAAAATAATTTGGGTTAATTTTAGAGTATTCAGTATTTAAAGTGTTCCTTATTCGGTGTTTATTTGCAAACAAATAAAATTATTGTTGATATAATCATGCATTCATAATTTCTCCTAAAGCGTCGTAAATACAAACAATAACATCCTCTTCAATGTCGAATGCTGTACTTAGAATGAACTGACTTTTCAGGTAGTCCCAGAACCAATTATCGATAGGGTTAAGATCAGGTGATCTAGAAGACCAAGGAATGGGTCTTCTAAATCGACCTATCTATTAACGTTCTGTCAATTACTAGACATTGAATTTGCATTTTTATGTAATTGGCTCATTCCTGAAAACAGTAGCAGATGTTTGTGGGACATACTGAGTTGTAGCCAGAAGTGTGATAGAAAATTTGTGTACCTATTTGGTCGAATAGCCCGAACAAAAAAAGAATAAATTGATCGACGCGAGACTTCAGATCAAAGGCAGACATTAATTTTTTTTCAAAGTCAGTATACATTGCGCGTTTAACGATAGGGCATAGGCTGTTCAGATTAATATTTAATTAAGAAAGAGGCTGAGGATTTTGGGTATCTTTCGAAATATTGAAATCTTCACATCTACAAAGTGCCTTACTATTTATACCGAGTTTCAAACCATCATAAGTTGTTTTTATTGACGCAATGAACATTACATCTGAAGTACAACAATGCAAATAACATTTAAACATATGACATATGCATTCGATATGTTTTATTTCACCAATAGATCAATGCATTTTTACGACAAAAAATGAAGACAAATAGAAAGAACTTACGTGTTACGATGAGATTTGCAGTACTCTGGGCAGTTCCGCACTGATTCGACGCCTTGCATGTGTACTCTGCTTTGTCCTCCAGAAACACTTTTTCGAATTTTAGAATAGCCTCACCATTATTGTAAGTAATAATATAATCAGGAGAATTATCAATGCAGTCACTATTCTTGAACCACTGGACTGTGGGTAGAGGATTTCCTTCCACTTTGCACTCAAACTGAAAGGGCGACCCCTCTCTGGCTGTTGACGGTTGTAGTAGTTTCGTAAAAGAGGGAGCTATTAACTGTTCTTCAGGTTCGGTTTCCTTTACCGATAAAAGTGCCGTCGTTTCAGTTTCCCCTGCTGGATTAACAGCTCTGCAGGTATATCTCGCAGAGTCTTCTGCAAATGTTTCTTCTATTGTTAGAGAGCATAATCCGTTTTCGAAGGCCGTGTGATAGTCTGGATTATTTTGTATTGATAAACCAGCTTTGTACCATGTTACTATAGGTAAAGGATAACCAGTAACTTGACAAATAAAAGTAAACTTGGACCCTTCCTGGATCACTGCGTCACTTAATGGGGAAATAAACACTGGTGCTTCTGACGCTTCTTCCACAATAGGTATTGGAGAAGGTACTTGTTTTGGAGTTTTTTGAACTTCGACTCTATGCATCTCCGTAATTTCGGTAATTTCAACAGATTCCTCTTTCTGTAACTTTTGTCTGGCTTCTTCGACCTTTCTTCTTTCCTCGGCAAGCTTTAGTTCCTCAGCTTTTCTCTTTTCTTCGGCTAGTCTAAGTTCTTCAGCTTTTCTTCGCTCTTCGGCTAACCTCTTTTCTTCTGCAATGCGTGCTTCTTCGGCTTTGCGTTTTTCTTCCGCAATTCTTGCTTCTTCAGCCTTTCTTTTTTCTTCCGCAATTCTAGCCTCTTCTGCCTTTCGCTTTTCTTCTGCGATTCTAGCTTCCTCAGCCTTTCTCTTTTCTTCAGCAACTCTTGCTTCTTCCGCTTTCCTCTTTTCTTCGGCGATTCTGGCTTCCTCAGCTTTCCTCTTCTCCTCAGCAATTCTGGCTTCCTCTGCTTTTCGTTTTTCTTCAAGAATTCTAGCTTCTTCTAACTTTCGTTTCTCTTCGGCAATACGAGCTTCCTCAGCTAATCTTGCCTCCTCAGCTTTTCGCCTCTCTTCTGCTAACCGAGCTTCTTCTGCTAATCTAGCCTCCTCGGCTTTTCTCTTTTCCTCAGCAATCCTGGCTTCTTCAGCCTTTCTCCTTTCTTCCGCCAGTCTGGCTTCTTCGGCTTTTCGTTTCTCCTCAGCTAATCTAGCCTCCTCAGCCTTTCTTGCTTCTTCAGCTAGCCTTGCTTCTTCAGCCTTTCTGGCTTCTTCTTCCCGTTGTAATCGGAGTCGCTCCTCTTCTGCAGCTCGTAAGTTTTGAGCTAAAGTTTCTAGTTCTAGCTTTATGGAAGAGAAGGATTCGATCATTTCTTTATTTCCTTGGATCACTGGTGCTTGCTGAGACTGATCCGGTCCGTAAAGCTGTGTCTCTATTTCCGATATCTTCTCAATTCTTTCGTCCTGTTTATCTTCGCCTGTTGTAAGGAAATTTGATATTTCACTCAATAATTCTTCCGCTTCCTCTGGGCGTTTTATTGATGTTGATTTTCTGGCTATCGTTACTAACAGCTTGCTTCCCTCTTTGAACCAGTCATCGGCCTGAAATACGTTCGAAATATGTTAACATTTTCAACAACGTTTTCATGTCTTTTTGAACATAAAATGTCAAAAACTAACTATAAACTCTAAAGCTTTATGTATCTATTTGAATACTTATACCACTGTACAGGGTGAGTCAGTTTTTTGTAGTAGGATTTTAATAGTTGATAGAGATTCATTTTTTAATAAGAAAAGTTCCTATAAACGTAGGTCTTAGAACGCTTCGTTTGTGACATATAGGGAAACATTTTTAAAGAATTTTTCTTAATATCTCTAAAAGACTAACATATATTGAACTGAAATTTGGTATTAATAACACATTAGTTATGGTGAATAAAACAAAGATATCTGTTATCCATTTCACACACCAGTGACGTGCCTGAGGTGGGTTAGTGCCCCCTTTAAAAAACATTTCGTACGCCCGTGAATTTTTCTAGAAAATAACATCATTTCTAAATTTTTTAATCAATTCTGAATCAAACAGCTCACTTTAAATTTTTTTATAAAATGAACGGTTTTTGGTTAAATTCATTTGGCATGTAACTGTTCCAACGATATTGGTAATACATTTGTAATAAGAAAAATATGATGTACCCCTGAAAATCAACATTTGTTTTGTCATGCCAAATTTCAGTTTAATATCTGTTGGTCTTTTAGAGATATTAAGAAAAATTCTTTAAAATGTTTGTTTTCTACACCCTACATCTCACAAACGAAACGTTTTAAGATCTATGTTTATAGGAACTTTTCTTATTAAAAAATGATTCTCTATCAACTGTTAATATTCATTCAATCGTTTTTGTTGATTTTCAGTGCACATCATATTTTCCTTATTAATTCACAAATGTATTAGGTGCCAATATCGTTGGAACAGTTTCATGCCAAATGAATTTAACCAAAAACCGTTAATTTTATAAAAAATTGAGATCTGTTTTTCAAAAAATTGATTAAATAATTTAGAAATTATGTTATTTTCCAGAAAAATTCACGGACGTACAAATTATTTTTTTAAAGGGGGCAGTTACCCACCTCAGGCACGTCACTGGTTGGTGAAATGGATAACAGATATCTTTTTTATTCACCATAACTAATGTGTTATTAATGCCAAATTTCAGTTCAATATATGTTGGTCTTTTAGAGATATTAAGAAAAATTCTTAAAAAAAGTTTGTTTTCAACACCCTATATCTTACAAACGAAGCGTTCTAAGACCTACGTTTATAGGAACTTTTCTTATAAAAAAATGAATCTCTATCAACTGTTAAAATCCTACCACAAAACTGACTCACCCTGTATATTATTTTATGTTTCTATTCTCTCTCATATTAAACTGCTACAATATTTTCATAACTTCTATGAAGGAAATCGATAGTAAATATTTTTTCCAAATTTCGTTACTCTACAAACATTTTTTTGTGTCAAGGATTCATTAAATAAACAATGAAGTTCAAGATAAAAAGAGAAATTAGCTATGCGTTTGAAATGGGTGTGCTTGAATACGCCCAACTAATTTTTAGGCAATTTACAAAATTAGTCCGCCTAAATGTACCGCGCCGAAAATAGTTACCTCTTCTACTAATTGGAAGTAAGGTATACTGAGGTCTATCAGTTCCCTGGTGCTCTGCGCCTGCTTCTTCAAGTTATTCCATCTATCCTGCAAATCTGAAATTTGGCTCTGAATGTGAGGCGATTGAGGATGGCGTTCGGCCAACAATTTTTCGCCGCTATTTACGAATGTCTGTACTCGCTGCTCCAAAGTCTGAAAAAGAGTAGGAGATACTATTTTTAAAGTTTGTATTGGGTGGCGACAACAATAATGTATATTCTTTTAAATTAATCTAAGTACATTGATTGATGAAATACAGAGTTGGAAAATTACATATTTTAGTTGAAGTAAAATAAATATGTGATTTAAAAATTCATTATTTTAATATTCAGTAACAATATTAAGAATCATATACTTCTTATTTACTATTTTTATATCTCATGGATGTAAATAGCAAAATGCAAATAAACAAATTCAAGTAATTTAATTTAGCTGTTAAAATAAGCTTTGATACAACTTATTTGTTTTCTTCCTGAAGAAGAATGTAAATGAATTTTGATATAAATATAAATATTAGAAAAAACTGGGAAACAGACATTATTTAACCAAGTTCAATAATTTGCATAAGTGGTAAATTCTAATTCCTTTAATGAAAAGCTTTTAGTTACTTTAATGATACATTTCAGTGCGTGTTCAATATAAGATTTTATGTTTAATGTTTACAAGGATATAAACGTATTTATATACATTTCAATGTTGGTTTTCTTCCTTTATCGTATAAATATATTTTTTCCCATGAAATTAATAGTAATTCATATTTTTATATATCAATTATAATTAATTTGTCTTTATCTATTTTACTGTTGTTATTGGTTTGCAGTAAATAAATTTTTATTCAAAAAATATTTTCTTGGATGTATCTACTTAATTTTCTGTTGTTACAAAGCTAACATGGCAATTAAAATTTGACTGTACAAACAGAGCTCTGTTTACAAAAATATATTTTTAATTTAATTGCTTGGGTAAGTTAATAAAAATGACAGATGCATAATTTAATTTTTATAATTTTAATTATTTAATATATTTACAAATAAATCTGCTATAACTCGGAATATTCTTCATTAGACTAGTTTATCATAAAAATCCTTAGTAAGCCAAGGATTTATAGATACTACACTCTTTGCAGATGTAAATTAGAAAGCGTTACTTGTATTTCAGGTTATTCAAGCTTTAATTTGGTACATGTAAATTGTATTTGAGAATAGCTATTCGTATTTCAAAATGTGTCATTTGAATTCCACAAAGTATCAAATGTATTTCAGTGTATTTGTCAAATCAATTTCAGAAAAAAAATTAAAAATGACAATGAAATTTAACAACACATCAATTTTACAAGAGAAAAAATGTCCTTTGTGAATATATTCTGTATTGTCCTATATAAAAACTTAAAAAACATGCGTGTATTTAAAATAAGCCAAAATATCAGTCCCATGGTAGTAAATTTTTTATTAATAAATAGTAAGAACAAATACACTAGGCACAGAAATTAAGGGATATTAAAAAAATCCCAAAATTTTGGGTGATTCTCAAAGGGCTGTAACTTGGAAGGAAATGGTCGTAGAGAGAATAAAAAAGGAAATTGAAGCTTCAAGTGTCTAGTTTTCAGATCTGCAGTTTAAAATTTTTTAGTGAAAGCAGTTTTTGAGTAATCATAAGAAAATCAATGGAAAACGAAATTTGTAAATTTTTGCATTTTTAAAAAAGGCCGATGAACTTTTTTTTGGTAATTTCATCATAAAGCTCTTTTACATAATTTAATTCTCTTCAATTTGAGCGGTTCCGGAGCCTTGTACGATTACTTTTCGCTGAGTTATTATCCATCAAAGCAAAAAAACTCAGTTTTGACTTTGGCAATCAATTACTCGGGAAATAATAGTCGTACAGAAAATCCAAGTAGGGTTTTGAAAACTGCAAAGTATTCTCTACAAGTCGTAATTATGGGTTTTTGATAAAAAGAAATTCTTCTAAGTGCAAATGTTGGTTAGAAAAAAGGTAAAAAGTTGTATAATTAAGGATATTTGAACTTTATTTTCTCAAAATAATTTTTGAAAAAAATTTTGTATTTTTTTTTTTAGAATTATGAACGTTTTTTGATGACGAAAATATGGATTATTGCTAAAAAACAATTTTAACTTAAAAAAATTAATAAAAAGTGAACAACTACTGATTACATTGATTTTCAGCAAAAACGACAAAGGACCCCGCACAAATCTTATGGAAATTGGGTCCCGGTCAAATTCGCTGAATTTTTGATATGTGATAGAGTTCATCATACTGGTCAATTGTCTCAATGGCCACAAAGCTCAAAAATGGATAGTTTGGCCGGTACAGAGCTTTAAAGCTCCGAATATCCTCCACGGATTTATGTATATGCGCAGTGTGTATAGACTTTTGAAATAGCCTATTTCATTTTTTTTATTATCTAGGTTTATATTTTTGAGGTTGCTGAATTCAGATCTGTTGTTAGATTTTCAAAATTGACAGTTGGCAGCTGTCAAATAGCTGTCAATGTGCTATAATAAAGCCAGAAACTTGTTTTTTTATGTTTTATTTTTTTTTTTTTTTAGTTCGATAAGTTCAAAGACGATATCAAATCAATAACAATGACTATCGGCAGCTGTCATTTAGCTGTCAACAATTCTTCAAAGTCCGGTAATAAAGTCAAAAAATTATTTTTTGTTTATAACTTCAAGTTTTTTAGATAAGTGAATATAAATATGATATAAAATTATGTAGTCATCAGCTTACAGCTGTCAACAAGCTGTCAACTAACTGTCAAAATGCAATAATAGAGCAAGTAACTTATTTTTTGTGCTTAACTTTGTGGATAAGAAATCAAACATGATATAAGTTTATGACATCACTTTTGAACTCAGTGATCTAAGCAACTTAAAGCTTTTTAAAAAAAGTAACTTTTTGACTTTATTATTGCATTTTGACAGTTAGTTGACAGCTTGTTGACAGCTGTAAGCTGATGACTACATAATTTTATATCATATTTATATTCACTTATCTAAAAAACTTGAAGTTATAAACAAAAAATAATTTTTTGACTTTATTACCGGACTTTGAAGAATTGTTGACAGCTAAATGACAGCTGCCGATAGTCATTGTTATTGATTTGATATCGTCTTTGAACTTATCGAACTAAAAAAAAAGAAAGATAAAACATAAAAAAACAAGTTTTTGGCTTTATTATAGCACATTGACAGCTATTTGACAGCTGCCAACTGTCAATTTTGAAAATCTAACAACAGATCTGAATTCAGCAACCTCAAAAATATAAACCTAGATAATAAAAAAAATGAAATAGGCTATTTCAAAAGTCTATACACACTGCGCATATACATAAATCCGTGGAGGATATTCGGAGCTTTAAAGCTCTGTACCGGCCAAACTATCCATTTTTGAGCTTTGTGGCCATTGAGACAATTGACCAGTATGATGAACTCTATCACATATCAAAAATTCAGCGAATTTGACCGGGACCCAATTTCCATAAGATTTGTGCGGGGTCCTTTAAACATTCCAGGCACTAAGAAAAAAAATCGCAGCGTTTTGAAATTATGAGGGTTTCTTTAGGATACTTTGAGGTTGAAAGGTTACAGTCAATATCTCTAGTTTATTCATTATTTGCAAAGTTATGCCAAGTTATTCAAATATCCCTAATTATGCAATTTTTTACCTTTTTTCTAACCAACATTTTCACTTAGAAAAATTGTTTTTATCAATAACCCATAATAATGACTTCTAGAGAATACTTTGCAATTTTCAAAGCCCTGTTTGGATTTTCTGTACAACCATTATTTCCCCAGTAATTGATTACCAAAGTCAAAAATGATTTTTCTCAAATTGAAGAGAATTAAATTATCTAAAAGAGCTTTAGATGAAATTACCACAAACAAAATTTTGAAGTCCATAGGTCTTTTTTAAAAAACCAAAAATTTACCCGTTGATTTTCTTATGATTACTCAAAAACTGCTGACGTTAAAAAATTTTAAACTGCAGATTTGAAAATTAGACACTTGAAGCTTCAATTTCCTTTTTTTTATTCCCTCTACGACCATTTCCTTCCAAGTTACAGTTCTTTGAAAATCACCCAAAATTTTGAGATTTTTTTAATATTCCTTAATTTTTGTGCCTAGTGTATTAAAATTAAAATGATTCTCTTTATTATTGATTTATGTAACATATATTATGGTGTTGATGACTATAACACTAAATTAGAATTGATAAATATAACACTAAAATTCAATGACTACCTGAAGTATGTTTCACATTTTCTGAAAGACAAATTATGATTTCTGAAAAATATTTTAGGCCTTCTGAAATACATTTTAAATTTTCGGAATTAAATCTAATTATTGTGAAATAACATTTAACGTTTACTGAAATACATATAATTAATCTGAAAGCCAAATAACGCTTTTTGAAATTAAATTTACTGAGATTAAATTAAAGTGAATTAAAGGATATCACATTTACTCAAAAATCTCTGAAAATGATTGATGCAGATTGGTGAAACGACAAAGTTGTCAACTAGCAGCGGAAACACTATGAAAAGTTTTGCTGAGACCCCAGAATTTCGACAGTGTTTTGGAAATGCGAGAAATTAATCGTAATAATATGGATAAGAAAAAAGTTTCTCTAACTTTAATTTTGATTAAAATAATTTAAATTTGAAACGTCGAGGCTTTTGATATATAATGATCAAAGAAACCCTCTTAAAGGACTTAGTATACCTTGTATTAATATTGGAAAATTAATACGAAAATAATGTATATTTGACAACATATCTACCTCGATAGTTTTTTCAAAGTAGCCAAACGCTTGCGATGTAGCCTTGGCTGTGGAAATGGAATCCCCATATTGACCCTTAAGGTCTTTAATTTGACGACCAACGTCTTCCACTGATTCGTAGATTTGTTGGAGTTGGCTGTCAAAAACGCAGATCTGTTTGTGAGATTCCAAGGAGTCTTGTCTCTGACGCCACTGACTTTCGAATTCGCCCCTGCGCAACTCTAAAACGTGTTGCAATTTATTAATATCTTGCTCCGCTGCTGCTTCCGGCTCCTAAAATGAGAATTTGTATTAAAGGAAATGTGAAACTATATTTGGCATAGAGAATAAATAAACAGTGACCAGATATGACCAGATAAACTGGACTGTTATCATGCTGTCTATGAAGTAAATATGATTTTAATCATTAATTATCATAAACATCTTAAGGTCGCCTTTATTTTAGAAATTATTCTTTCGTTCTATTTTTGTTTGTTTTACCACCCCCTTTAAGGGTAATGGAAAGAAACTGATGACCTATAAAGTTTTTTAAATTTGAAGAGAGAGGTTATGGTGAGGTAAGGAGATTTATGGAACTACTATAATGCCGACTTCCAATATAAGTTATTGGAGGTAATATTGAGTTGGAACAACATTATGTATATTGGAGATTGAGGATCTCTGTAATGTAGGTCTTAAAAATAAATTACAGAAAATTAAGTTTTTTGATTGAATTTGAAAAAACCTTTTCAGATTCTTTAACTCAGTAAAGTTTGAGTCATGTCATTTCTATTCTATCTAAATAATTTTATCAACAAAACTAAAGGGAATTGATGAGTAATTTTGCATTTTTTAGAATTACACTAGGAGTACAGAAAATTACCTGTTTTTTAATTCTTTCGGCAATCTGATCGCATTCCGATTGAGCAAACCTCAACCTTTCAACAATGGTTTGCCTACTAGATTCATGATCTCTTATGATTGATTCCACTGCAGCAACATCTTTAGGGTATCCAGTCTTTTCCAATTCAGAGTTCACGTCATCAGCCTTTTTGTCTATTTCCTCGAGATTTCTGAAGTAGCCTATAAGAACTTGTAACAAAATTTGGTACTCCGACGAGATTTCTATTAGCTTCTGATTCAATTCGTACAGCTTATTTTTGACGTTGAGTGCTTGTTCATCACTACTTGAGGCTTTCGAAATTAGGCCTTCAGCATTCTTAATCCTCTCCTCTACCTCATTTTGAGCCTTCTTGATGTCAGGTACGACATTTACCAGCTTGCTCTCAAGATGATCGGCTAGTTCGCTGGGTTTGGTTGAATTCGTGGTGATTACGGGGTACAACTGGGTCTCCAATTTTGACACCCAGCTGATAGTCTAAAAAAGAAAATATTTTTTTTTGTTTATGGCATCGATACGTGTACACAGTGTGCAAAAGGAAACCATACGTTAACGGATTTAAATAGTAACATTTAGATGATATATAAGTGACGAATCATGCATTTCTTAGTAAATATAAGTATTTAAACGTAATTTCTATAAACAATTATAAAGTACGCAAGTAAAACGTAGCATAAAAAGAAAATTTAAAACAAAAATGTAACAAATAACTTAATATAACACATAATTAAGAATATAGTATTACACAAGTCATAGTGTCACGAGTTTAGACCAACATTTTTATTTTATCAAAAATATGGTCAAAAATCCTCCGAACACTTTCGATCATTTGCAGTTCCGTCTAAACATGGAAAATAAACTGGATCACAGAAACTAAAAAATTGACAAAGTTAAGGCTTCACAAATTTTCTTTCTCACTTTAAGACTTAAAATTGATCTGTTTCAAAGAAATAAAGGATTTTCCTTTAAAATATAATTTTTTTACATGTTTCAAAAACTTTGCCCTTTCTTTTACTGGTACGAGATACCTTTTATTTTTCTGAGGATAAATTTTTATATTATGACTTTTTGAAAATGGTATAATACTCTCAAGGTCCTCATTTATTTTATTTGAAACATCATCTACTTTAGAATAACCAAAATGATGTAAAAATTTTAAGATACTGAAAATATCTGCTGTATATACAAGGGACAATAATGGACCAACAATATATATTTGATAATTATTTTCATTAAATTTATTGCATTCGTCATATTATTACATTGGGATAATTCGTTATGCACAAATAAAAAATTATTTTATTTATTTTCGAAACATTTATTTAGACAAGTTGTTCCATATTTTTTCCTGACTGATGTCTTTAAAGTTTCTCAATAAAGCTTTTCTGTTTTAACAAGTAACAGAGCGGTTATGTTGCTTTCTCTTCAATTTAATCGTTTTTGTATATTTTGTCGAAAATCATTTATTTATTCTCAGCAATTTATCACATAAAAAATTTGCGAACTGAATACATTATACGGCTTTTTGTGTGTTATAGAATTATTGGTTCAATGAGGTTGTGGTGAGCTTTTTATGTTTTTGGGACCATTATAATTTTAGACAGCCAAGGATTTATTTCACAGGAAGTTTTAAATGTAAAATATAATCATTATTTTATAGTATGTTGTCGAAGCTGAATTTTACGTTTTGCAGTGGTATACCAGTGGTTTTATTTTAGCCAAGACGCTGTTTGTATAATCCACCTACTACAACAGATGATCAAAAACGATGGAGCTGACTACCAACGCAATGTTCGGTTATATTTAACGAATTACCAAAAAGTAGACAACATGTATAAATAAAGAAAAGCGATTTTTTTAATATAAAAAACAATAAATATAATAATATAATGGCATCAAAAGTATTGATTTTTTTGTATCAAGTTTAATATTGCTAGTACCTAGTCGTCCGGTTTGTCAATCCAACCATTTTTTTCTTTCGGATTATATACTTCGCTTTATTGCATTTGGCGCCATATCAAAAAAATCTGCACATAAGAATATTAACAGTTCTATTTTAGATTCTGAATTTCTGCTTATTACTACGTATAATGTAATTGACATGACATGGTCATTAATTCTTAACATACTATATTTTACATTTCAAATGCTCATAATATTTCAAAAATAACTTTTTAATTTTCGTAAGATTTGCTTAGCATTAAAGAAATTGAACGCAACGAGCCCGGAAAAGCATTCAAAACTAAGATTTGTTTACAAACCGCATTTTTGAAATGAAGAAAAATGAGAATACTTTATCTAATTAGGGATTAAATCAATGCACTTATTTATTTGTAGTTATGTTTTAAGTACTAGATTTGCGAACGGTTAAATTAATTTTGAAAATTTTTAAACTTTTCTTAATTTTTAGTACAAGAGTAAAGTATTCATCAAGGTTTTATACAACTGACGTGCAAATAACTTTTTATGTTATATTTCTCTAAAGATAGTTAATACCAAAAATATATTCTTACATTTTGTTTATAATAAATACCTACATTAAATTAATCTATATGATAATATATAGTCCATATAATCTCTTTATATTAAAAGTTAAATGGTCCTACATAATTTTCTACTGTAAATATACACTAAAATATTATTGATTATTGTTTTGTCATACTATGTAAAACATTATTATTACAGCAATAAAAGTTTTAGATAAGTGGAGAAAATTTTAGACTGTTTTGTTACTAATTTAATGGTGCCCATAGTTCGGGTCTGCCCAATAGATTTTCAGAAATATTTCGAAACTTTTCGGATACAAACAATTCAGCAACTTCCCGGAAGGCATAAGAAACATGATCTTGCGAAGGAAATGATGATCTCACAATGCAAGGTTGAAACAAATATTCGCACTAAATTTTTTGCAGAGTTGCTGTAGATTTTCTGCATTTGAAAAATTCGTAAAAGTAACATTTAAGTAACTATTTTTGAAAATATCTCGAAAGACTTATCAGCTCGGACAATTTTAGGTCACTTAGTGAATAACATAAAGGTTTTTCTATTTTTCTATCTCTCATAGTTTCTGAGATCCCAAAGACATAAACCGCCTAAATTGCCCACACGGTATGTGTAAAAATATCATCAATATAAATTCATTTGTGGTTTTATTTATATTTCGAAATTATCTGTTTTACAGAACTGCCAGTGTTGTGTCAATCCTCACGAAAATACTCGTACCTACTTATTTGTAAGACCCTGTTGACATCTATAATCATTACAACATGAAGGCTGATAATATTTGTTTTATATTTTTGATGGAGTTGAAAAGAGAATTTCACGATAGAAGTCACTCTTGTAAAAAGTAATTTGTTTCTGTTCAAATGTAGAAAAACGTAATGTGAAGTGGGCCAACCTTACAGGGTGGTCCTTATAACGGAACCCTTAGAACTCGCTAATACACTACTTCAGTTACGAAACGTATAAATAGCCAATCCTTTTTCAAGGTTTAACATGTACAGAGTGACCACGTATCGTCTCAACCATTGATATTAATAACAAAAAGTTGTTTGCAGAAATTTGACATTTTGAAGAACAAGAAAATAATTTTCTATATATCGAAAATTTTTATTAGGAAAATTTGGGCAAAATTAAAATTTATTTCTATATTCCAAGTTCGGACGTTTAAACTTAAACATTTTTCTTCGCTACACCTACCTTTAAGACGACATTTGAACACTCTGTATATATTAATTATTATCGGAAAAGGATAGTTTTATGTGTTTCTTAAATAGTGACTTATGAGGATAAAAAGAGTTACTATATTTCTAATTATAACTTTGTAAAGATCATACTGTATTATGTTGGTTCACTTAAAATAACATTTCTCTTTATTTGAACAAAAGCAGACAAGAATGACTTTTTCATGATATGAGAAATAAGAAAGTTTTCTTTCTTTTTCAACTTCTTTTGGCCCGGGTTTTGGTGATTTATTACAGTACGACATTTATACTGCAAGTTTTGGATCGATACATAGTTAAATTTTTAAACGACGCCGTACGTACTTGCTGATACAGGGGTTAGGAATACAGGGTGCTGGGTCAAATAACCCCTTGAAAATTTCCGATGGGCTTGTAGTCTATTAAATTTCAACAAGAACAGAAATCAATATTAGAGCGTACCTAGGGGTTCGTCTAGTGGGTACGCCCACCTAGAGTCTAGCCTGAGAATAAATGACACGTCAAACAGTTCTAGCTACGGCAGGAATTTTTGAGTTTGCCGAATTAATATGAATATAACCTTATTTTCTCCTTAAAACGTAGAAATCAGTAAGCACACCTTATACAGTGCGTTCCAGAAGTAACGCAAAAAATTCATATTTTATTTTGTGTTGAGTTTTCACAAAAACGCTAAAACACGTCAATTAGTAAATTAGAATTGTCGTTTTGTCACGTTGCTTAAACCTTTTTTGCGCTATGTTTCATAAACCTATGACGTCATCGACATTTTTTTTAAATAGCACCACCTAATTTTTTAAGCATAAATGGATAGCCCTTTTGAAGGGAAGTGCGTAGATATAGGGTTTGGCCTACTTTAGTTTGACAGGAGCGAAAAAAAAAGCCAACGATTGGAATGAACATGGTTTGAATTAATAACAAAAATAGGTATCACAAACTTATGCGCGAACAGTGCTATAGCAAAAAATCTGTTTTGGTTTATTGTTGGCATATGTTTTTATGTAGATTAGGTAGATACACCCGATCACAGTGGCTATGTAGGCATTGTTCTGAAGACGACAGTTAGCGAATGCAATAGTGCCTCATATCATTGTCACAGTTACAAATACCATAACTTTACATTACGATGGTGTTGTGTTTAAATGAGAAACAAAGAACTGAAATCCTAATTATGGTTGAATACGGAGATATAGGATCCGTAGTTATGATGAAATATGTCAATTATTCAATGCCAAGTATCCAGAACAACCAATACCTCCGTGTACAGTATGCAGATTAGTACCCAAATTTGAAGACGCTGGCCATGTTAGAAATGTGTCTAGATCTAGAAGGCCAACGACAGTGATAGAAAATGATAGGCAAAATGTTATGTTTAGCTGTCACTGAAAATCCACACATTGCCATTCGTCGTATCGCCGCAAACGCCAACATATCAGTACATAAAAACGTACCTACAATCAACCAAAACACAAAACATCCCCAAATTTCCATTTTATACTGTGGCACTTTTCTCGCATCAGTTTATGATACCTACTTTTGTTGTTATTTTAAACCATGTCCATTCCAGTCAATGGCTTTTTTCCCGCTCCTGTCGAAGTAAAGTAGGCCAAACCCTATATCGACGTATTTCCCTTCAAAAAGACTATCCATTTATGCTTAAAAAAATTAGGTGGTGCTATTTAAGGAAAATGTCGATGACGTCATAGGTTTATGAAACATAGCGCAAAAAAGGTTTAAGCAACGTGACAAAACGACAATTCTAATTTACTAATTGACGTGTTTTAGCGTTTCTCAACTCAACACAAAATGAAATGTGAATTTTTTGCGTTACTTCGGTGACGCACTGTATAGTGTTGTTTAGTACTATCCATTTTTTGTTGGAAGAGACTTTAAGCAAGCGTATGTGTTTCATATACTCTACTTTATTTATTTCGGCTACACCTGCGTTTTTTTTTAATTCCTAACATCAACAAAAATATAGGTTTAGGTAAAAAAATATGCTCAATATCAGACACCCTACCCTGTATATTGAAAATTCATTTGAATCGCTTATTGTATTCCTTGTATTTACTAATAAATCATTTCGAAACGTTCTGTTCACCAGCAATGCTTGCCAACTTTTTTTCTAAACAACTAGATTAAGAAACAAATTGAAAATTGGAAAGCTGGTTTCAGATAGCTACAATAATGCCTTGAGACTTAAAATACCGCTGATCTAATATGTATATTCTGTTCACTGTACTTTATTTTCATTTATTTATATTTAACTTGTACATAGGCATAGGAGTACTCTCGTTAACGCGATTTAAAAATACTAGAGCAAATTTATAATTCACAATAATTCTGTTAGTCAAAGTGGAGCACAGGAACACTTGTCTTGAAGATTTTAACCCGGACAGGTTGATTTATTGGGGATATATTAGATAGCTTGTATAGCTATCGTTTGACCTAAAATAAAAGGCGATGGCTCTTTAACGACTTTCCACCGAATGTCTAAATATACAAAAAGAAAACAATATTTTCTGTTCGTTTTTCAACAAAAATAAACAGTCGTCTGTCTTGTGCAAATATAACACACGCCGCCATTATTTAGGCCCAGATTCTAACAATTTAATGTCAGGTTTTAATAGTTTAACATACTTTAGATATTTATAATAATGGATTTTTCAAAAATTTATAATTTGTTGGTCCAAACTCTTAGGCTGCAAGAAAATTATTTATTTGCGACATATTTTCAGTTCCTTTCTATTTATTTACATATTTTACCGCTGGAGAAAAAGTTTATGGAAACAACACTTCAAAGGGATCAATCAGGGATTGTTTTCACGGAATTATTTTTGCTTAATAAAAAATGTTTGTCTGAGAAAAGCAAATGTATGAAAAATATGTCCCTATATCACATTAGCTTAATAAATTTTCAAACAGGTAGCGAAGTACCCAAATATACAGAAAAAGTGAAGAAAAATATTCATTAATAAAGTTTCAGTTGTCAGCTTACGGAATGCCTACTAAATAGTACGTCGTAAGTATAATTTCTGTTGGAAGAAAATAACTGAAGGGATGCATTTTTATATCTCCACACCACGTTTTTTACAGCTGATGTAAAAGTGAAAGTTTGACATAGAGGGTTTTGTTTATATTTTAAATTGGATTCATAAAAATAAACCAATTAATGATAAAGCTAACTTCAAATTTTTTATGGAAATACAGTATATACTTTAGATAATAATTAGATTGAACACTTTCTTTAAAACAACAGTGATATTTTATAATTTATTTATAGAAATAAGAAACTAGGACAATATATACCTACTATTATTAATTAATGTGCTAGAAAGAGATTAATATTACTTTCTGCGCTACCAAAACTGTTTCTGATACATCTTATTAAAGATACATCTTTAATCCTATGTCACTGTAATCCTAAGAAAGTTTTTTCTAACCAAATACATGGTGTTCTATATTTAAAAAAATGAGTTGACTGTGTTTCTAAACTTCTTGACATTCGCTTGTTTATTTTGATGAATCCAGAAAGTAGTGTTGGAAAATTCCAGAAAATTTTATAAAAACTGCGTTGATATGATACAAACAAAATATACTGTAACCAAACTCCTATGACTAGCCGTTATGGTATATCAGTATTGGCTTGAATATTTATGGAACTGTAATAGATTAGAAACGTTTGCAGAAAATTCAGTGGACGGATTAGTTCATTTATTAGTGCGGAAGTTTGTTTAAAAGCTGTGAACTAGAAATAGTTTAAACAATGACTGACGAAACACTTTTTTTCTTTAAACTGAATTACAGTACCGTAAGCCACTTAAAATTAACTGGTGCGTCAAAAATTGTAATGGATTTTTTCGTGGGAAGACAAGAAGAATGGTTTATGAAGCTTGGTAGTCAAATTCCAACGCAGACCACACATTAGCATCACAGAGGGGATCTGGGAGAAGTAGTGGGTAGTTCTTTCAGGACTTAAAGATTGCTCGGTGAAGAGCTAACGGGCATAGTGAGCAGCGGAAGTGAGAAATCACCAAACTACGGTACTAACCTTGGTGCTCTCCGCCATGGTCTGCTGCAGGCGCACTAGGAGCTCCCGTTTCTCCACCACCTCCGTGTGGAAGGTCTGCCAGTTCCTCGTCACGACTAACTGCCTTCCCGACAGCCGTTCCAGCACCGACTCCACGCACACGCAGGCACGCTTCGTGTCGAGATGCGGTTCAGATACCTACAAGATAAATATAGCACTGAAGAATATATTTCTACATCTATGCAACGGGCTTCTTAATAGTTTACAGTCGTGGACTTCTTAATTAGCTGCAGATATTAGGAAAATGGGTTATTTCGTATTAGTTCTCTCTTTTTTGGGATCATAAAATTGTACAGGGTGATGGAACAATTCTAACAACTCATGACTGTTGTATTTTTTTGTCCAAAATGAAGATGCAAAGTTTTGATAGTCTATGGATTTTGCATTTAAATTTTTAATTTTTAGCTGAGATACACAGACGCACAAAAAAGCAGTCTTCTGTATATGAACAAAAGCAAATTTGCTATGGAAAATGTTCCATCGCTTTGTATTTTTTTTAATTGCCAAGAACTATCCTAAAACCAAAAAGGTAGTTCAGTTGCTTTCCCCTTGACTGCAGTCTCGGAAATGACTAGACGTTCGTTAAGTTCATTGCATAATTTTTGAGTATCCAAAGACTCAATCAACCCTTAAAACCTTTCAGTTGTGGGTGAAAAACAGACAACCACCTATAAAACCTTACAATCAGCTAAATTCTACATTATGTGGATTCAGGTTTAAAAAATCATAAATCACAACAGCCTCACAGCGGACTTACGTACTCATCACAACAGACAAGTAAGTGATACGAGATTATTTCACAGGTCTTGAACTCAAATTCCTAACTCAGAGGCACTGCACCACAATCATATCCTGGATATACGAAGACCAAATCAGTCCATTAACCCTTAAGTTCTTACTGGAATCTAAAAATCCTCCACACCTTGATACCCCAATTTTGCTACAATTTTAGGTTTAATAAGTAACTCCTTGAACGAGACTGAGCAAAAGAGTCTATCTGCAACTGAAACCTAAAATCTCTGAAGGCAGTTGGGAAGAAGTCAAGAAAACCTACCCACTAATAAAACTATCCCTCAGAAAATTGTATAATGGAGTTGTGTTTTTCTTATTCAATTACAGTTACCTTCAGGTTTTTAAGATATATTGTAGATGGACTCCTTTGCAGGGCCTCGTCCAAGACCTACTGCATGTAAAATTGTGGCAGAATGCTCAAGGGTTACAGGAATCATTTTCGTATGTCCTGAGTTATTAGATCAGGATCGTACTGTGTGCAATGTTTGTGGGTTAGGAATTTTGGCTCTAAATAAACTATCATCACTGACTGGTGCTGTGTTACGTGTGTGGTTTTCGCTTCTAGGGCTGTAAATTTGTGGCATTACGTATACGAGTTTATGTCTTAAATCTGCCCAATGTATAATTTCAACTGATTTTTAGATTTTAGGGGTGATTTTCTTCTGTTCACCAGGAGTTGGAGTGTTGCAAGTGTTGATTGAGTCTTTGAATACGCAAAATATAGAATGATCCTCACAAATATGATGCAGAGTTTTGGCTGCTTTTTATGTTTTAGTAGTGGGTTTTGGCAATTAAACCAAAACTTGTAATGGAGCATTGTCTCTAGCAGACTGGGTTTCTGGGCAAAGCATAGGAGATGTCTTATCCGTGGGACAGACAATTTATTTTTCTATCCCAGATAGAACGGTGTTATAAATGTTACATTTCAAGATATTTGCCAATTGAAATACATTCTAGTTAGGAAAATAATTAATGGCTTTTATAATGTTGATATTATGTCGGATATCTTAGTTGGCCAACTACCGTAGCAACTGTCAATGGCAATTCCTGGGCTAGTTGCCACGCCATCGGTTTAGGCTTCTTGACGTTTCGAGACATATCTGTCTCATCTTCAAGAGAAACTGTGACGGTGAAAATTTTTTAATTTTTCTTTGAAGAAACTTTGAGACGGAAAACAGTTTCAAAATTTCTTCTGATGAAGAGGGTGATATATAGTCTGAAATGTCAAGAAGCTTAAACGGATGACGTGGCATACGGCCTGGGAATTGTCCAGGTATTCTGTCAGGTATAACATATAAAGACAATTTTAGAAAAATAAGGATTTATTGCTGTCGTTCAAAATGAAAATTATTCAATTAAGCAAGAATAGATTTTTGCCTATTAATCAACTCAGTCAACTTTTCAACAATTTTTGTATTAAGTCAATCCGAAATAAGTTAAGTTTTATTATGGTACATATTCTTTTTCTATTCGAAAAAATTATTTTATAGAAGTTTGAGTACTGCGCAGATAAAATAACGCAAAATGTTTATGTTAAAGTTCATTCATATTTAACAAGATTAAAATCCGATCATCTCTGAATTTAACTTGCAAAAATAACGAAGTTTCGACTAAACGTTTATATTTGAAATCTCAACGTCTGGTAGATGTATTGTAAATTACTCTAAACATGTTTCATGTTTAATTTCGATGAAAAATTGGTTGTTAAAAATTCATATAACAGCTTAAAGTATTTTAATTTAATACTCGTCAGAGATAAAAACGATGGAAACTGTTATTTAATCTGTTAATCTTTGAAGAAAAGCATTAAGCTTAAATCGATTTATTTAAAAATTTTAAATATTACCTACAAGTTATTTTATCTTTTCTTTAGTAGAATTGGTTAAAAAGTACTTTTTAAAAGAATTGGGTATAGAAAATTATTTTGAAAATTTTGTTATGAATACGTAGATAATATTTGTAATGCCTACTCTATTTTTTAAAGCTTATAATTCATTTATTAAAAGTATAATTAATTATACATAGCTCTGCAAAATATACCACACCGAAACATATATCTATAGTAAGTTTTGTAGTAGCGTAGGAAGTGATTAATGCATTTTTATTTTTACCGATGTATTTTTGTAGATCCTTTTGTCGATTTTATGATATATAAATAATATATAGCTCACCAATATTTGCGTTTATTTTATGGTAGAACTTCTAACAAAATATTCGATTTTCAAGTGTTTATCATGTTCCGAAAATGTATAGATTTAATCACATGTAGACTTATTTTATTATTTGCATGTGCCTTACTGCCTATAGAAGTAATACATTTTTAAAAATTCTGTACTGGTACCTATTTATCACTTTTTATTTAGATATCCAGTATTCTCTCACATAAAAATATGTAATGATCTATCTACAGTGAATGAGCATTTTGAACAGCACCACCCTCGTATTTTAAAAAGGATGGGTCATTTTTCTCGACCTCATCATGTGTAATTTTTGTTTCTATCCCCAAATTTTGTGGCCTACAGGGTTCAAGAAACTGTCAAAGTTTGTAAAATGATGTTAAGCATTTTTTAAGAAGAAAAACTAATAGTTATATTAAATTTTACTTATCCTTATTTGCAAATACCAAAATTTCATTTGCAGTTTTTATTTTTTTAAAATGCAGTATTTGGAAGAACCTACTTAAAGTTACTAAATCTTCACATTAAAATGATGAAATGTTTTGTGCTAAAGTTTATAAAAAGATATGTTGTTCTTGGACAGAAATATCAAGAAACAGTATACATATGGCAAAGCAGATATTATCGATTATTTTATGTTAAAAAAAAAGAAAAATCGAAAATCGACCCTTTCGTTTAAAGTACGAAGGTAGTGCCTCTCAAAGTTAAACACAGCGTATATATTTACAACTTGAAGATAAATAGATATAACTTTTCACAGATTATCTTAAACACAAAAAATTCTACCATTTCCAAATTCATTTAATTGTTTTCAAAACTAGTTTGAGAAATCTGTTCAAAATACTTGAAGAAGTACTATTTAAAACATAATGTTTTGATTTTCGTTTCAATTTATTATCATTTTATATTTTCTAGAGAATTGTAGAAACAGTAAGTTGTTTACTTTTTATGTTTAATCCAAATGATTTAAAAGTAAATGTTTTGAAGAAAATAATATTATTTCAATTTAAATTGAAGTGTAATTTAAACCTAACAATAGTATTTCGCATGTTGTATTTTGATTAATCTATATCATCTAGATCGATAATTTTTGAGATATAGGTTGTTGAAATAAAAAAAATGAAGACGTTTGATAAAGAATGAACAAACTTAGGCTAATGATTTATCCAAGTAAAGGTAAAAATGCACTAAATTCAGATGCGAGTGGTGACATACCGGAAATTCGACGCTACTAGATATTCTGAAATTTCGATCGCAAACTGTAATATAACATCACAAGATATTACACGAAAAAGATGTCTTTTATTGTATTTGAAAAACGAACCGTTTTCAGTGGTAAAAAATACGGCCTGAAAAAAAATTACATTAATTATTTTCTCGACTTTTCATGATGGCGTATTTAAAATGCTATATTTAGAAATATTTTTTTTTGCAAAATAAGTAATTCTAGGGCTTTATTAAGTTTAATAAATTCTAGAGTAACGCTAATAATTACAAAAAAAATAGTAAATCGAAAATGGTCCGTTTTTGCGAATAAAATGAAAGAAAACTAGAAGTTGTGACAATATTTTGAAAATATTAAGTGGTCTCGAATTGATGGCGTCTTTAGTGAAAGTATTAAAAATTCGAATTTCGTCTTTATTTCGTTACGAAATAATTATAATGCCACCTACACATGGCAACGAGTGAACTTGAGTTTTGCATGCAATTGTGGAATTTACTGTCCACAATATTTATTTTTAGTTGGACTGGCCCGAATGTGGGATAGCGGCAAGTGTGAGATATAAATTAAATATCAGAAATAGCATCAATATGGGACCTAGCTTTTACATATTTATTAAAAATATTTACTACCAATATTTAAAAGTACATCATAAAATGATTTAGTGATTAGTTTTAACTTAAGTAAGACATTTATAATTAAAAGATTAGAAACGAAACATAATATTGTGCATGTACATCCCTTTTAACGTTTGTACGGACGGGTTATCCGATGTCAAATCTGACATCTATGTGTAAGACAACATGACCTATTAGAGAGAAGTTGCATCGTTTCCAAATGATACTTTTTTTAACGCTCCCATTTGTTTTATTCAAATATGGAAACAGCAGGAAATTCTACGTGTATATTTGATCTTGGGTCAGATTGACCCCTAGGGGTCCTCTGAGGGTCAAATTTGACCCCAGGGCTCAAGATCAGTCACAATTAAATCATAAACCATGACGACAGTAGTTTGTATGGAATTTGACACAAAAATGAATGAATTAAACATTTGCCATAAAATGTGAACATTTCAATCTGAAAGCTAATTTGAAATGATTATATTGTAAACTTACCCTCTTGGCTTCATTAATGAACGTTATTCCAGTATTCTTCGCAGACTGGTAAAGGGGAACTATAGTTTCAAACTTCTCTTCAAGTGCCCTCATTGTATCATCATCAATGTTGTTCCTATTTTGCAAGAGTAACGTTTCCAATTTGTCCATTTCTTTGTTAACGATGTCAGCTTCCGTATGGAATTTGACGTATATCCTGGAAAGGTCCAAACGATTTTCTAATATATTCTTCAGCTTCATCCAGCGATCGTGAAGCTCTTCAACTTTGGCGTCTACGTCTTTCCTCTGACTGTCTTCTAAATACTCCAATACTGGCGGCAGTGTTAGTAGCAAACTGTTAATTTCATTGCCCTTAGTCTGTAACAAATATACGTATTATTGCATGTTATTAATTAAAATCGTTATTGTTATTTTCTTATCGCGTTTAACAATAAAATAAATTTATCCGATTCCACAGTTTAGTAGGCGTCGTTTTTCAGTCATCGTTATTCAGATTTGTTAACTTTTGATTTGTTTAATTTTTTTAATTTAAGTTCATAATTTACGAATTCCATATCCTACCTGCACCATTTAAATATAAAAGCTCTATTAATGCTTTGTTGGCAATACAATTGAATAATTATGCTTTTAAGAGAACAGTTGTCTACGTTGTTTTTTTTTTACCTGTTTTACTTCTGTGGAAATTATTCTGTTTTCAAATAATAATAATTGTTAGTATATGTATATATCACGTAATATCCCAATTTAAAACAAACGAAGAAAACATTTTAGAACAAAAATAATCAACAAGGACATGGTTGAATTGATGGCCAGTAACTTTAAACTATACACTTATTGATAGAGAAGATGAAACAGACAGACATGAAACCTACATTATCTTTAGAAATATAGGAACGGAGGGAAGTAGAGGTGCTAGATAGTCGGGTTTTTGACGTAGTAAAGAATATTATAGATCGAAAAGATTAGTATGAACATAGTTAGTTAAATATTTATCATGAAACTAGATGATACAAATAGATAAATAAGTCAGTAATCAATAAAAATAATGTGAAACATCATTATGTAGACATCAACTTGAAAATTAAATTTTTTCCTTCATTCTTCCTTCCCTTCCATTTATCCTTCCGGGTGTCGGACATCTTTCCTTTTTCCCACCATTGCTAATTGTTGTACCCATTTCTGTTGTAGTATATCTTTCCCTTTTTTTTGTTATATTTCTTGAATGGTGTACTTTCCTTGATTTGGTTCTATCTTCATAAATGTCCATACCAATTTATTGCCAGTTATTTTTTTGGTTATTGGTCTATGTTTTAACATTTCTGTTATTGTTTCATTTCCTATTCTATTCCATCCCATCTCCATTACTTTTATTTTATTATTGTATTTCTTTTATAGTGTCCAATAGTCACTGATATAATACAGTTAGAATACTCTTGGTTTCATTTCTTTCATCAATTCTGTTTCCTATTACCCCATTAAGTATGGCATATTTGAATTTTTTCTCTACTTGATAGTTTCTGTTTCATTTTTCCATCGTCAGTAACCATGCTGCTTATATATCCATAGGTTGTTACTACTTCTAGTTCAGCTTGTTTTTGTTAATTTGTTTGCCGTTCATTGTCATCATTTTGCTCTTTTCCGTGTTAATTTCCATTTTTAATTATTCTATTTGATCTTCCTATACATAAACTAATGCAAAAAATAAAAGGGTCAAAAGAATTTCTGAAATTTTTCGTGATTTTTAACAGACTGTATTTAGGTGAAAAATTGTCGTATTGGGAATTTAAAAAAAAGCATTTTGAAGCTCTAAAATTCTAGTTTTTAGATCTTTCAGTCGAAGGAGCTCCGGTTATCATGCAATTCTAATAGCGCCACAAAAAAATTTTGCAATTTTTTTTTTCGGTTTTAATCATGATTATGAAGTGTTTAAGCTCAAAAAATGTGCCCCTTTAATTTTTTTCAAAAGTTTGACTGTTTGAAACAAAGAAACGGTTCGCTAAATCGAGATGAAACTTCACAGGGTTCTTCTGGGTATATCAAACTGTAAAAGTCAAGCTTAACATTAGTCACTTCGTGAATATTTCTAATTTAGCCGTCAATTTTCTAAAAAAAACCATAAATTACCCTTTTTTTTTCTCCTATTTTTCAAAATTCGTGTAAAAGATGAAAAAAAAAAATTCCGAAAAGTTGCGGCAGCATATTATAGGAAATTTATTCCAGTTTTCGAAACTGCCCTTCAATTCTCTGTACGACCATTTGTCGCCCAGATATCGATGATTGAAGACAAAAGGATTCTTTTCCATTAAAAGTCCGATATTTCGATGAAAAATGGTCGTATCGAAATTAAAAAAAAGGAAATTGAAGCTGAATAAACAAGCTATCTGGTCCATGCAATGGCTTAGCTGAAAATGTTTTTTTCAAGTCCGTGGACTTGAAAAATTTTTTTGTCGCGCTTTTTCTTAGATTTGCATGATAACCGTAGCTACTAAAAAATTTCGACCGAAAGATTTAAAAACTAAAATCTTAGAGCTTCAAAATGCTTTTTTTAATTACCGATACGACCATTTTTCGCCTAAATACAGTCTCAAAAATCACGGAAAAATTTCGAAAATTCTTTTGACCCTTTAATTTTTTGCATTAATTTATATCAGTTTTTGCATTTTTTCTTCGGAATTCAGACTCATAAGATCCCGTAAGAAGATTTAAAGCAGGTATAGAAAGCATTTGTAATAGATCTTGAAATTAGTAAAACGAATAACGAAGAATCGTTTTAAAAATAAAATGCAGATGCAAATTATCATTAAAAAACGAAAAATTTCATTCTATAATTCGTTTTGTGACTTGCTCTTGTTTACGGGATATTGAAAGAGACATTCTTTGTCTGGGAAGAATGTTAAATTTGTTGATTTGCTTCTTCTGCACACATAACATGATACACTGTATCACATTTTCTTCTTCTTGTAATAATAATCTTAAGCTAAAGAAGGGAAGTGCTTCTACGTGTAGCAGGCACTATTAAATTACCCCGTTAAGTGCATGCTATCTCGAGTTTAATGGCGAAGTGATTATAAATTACATTAACATATAATCGCCAAGTTCCCGTAATAAAAATTTAATTTTCGTTATTAACTTTATCTAAAATAATCTATCTTGTTGATTCCATCTCCATTGTGAACAATTATTATTTTTACAGAATCTAATAATATTTCGGTAGACGTTGTTGCCATTCTATTTACGTATTATTTATTGTGAAAATTTTATAGAGACATGAAAGCGTTGTTTGGAAATTTTAGAAGCTCAAACTCCTCTTACTTCCGACAATTATGGTTAGTTTTTATAAAAATTGTACGTGTAAATAGCTACTGCGACGAAACTGTACTCTTCCAAGCTTGAACACACATTATCTTCCATAATAACGTTGGGAAAGCATGGTATTAGGAAAAAATGTTTTAACAACAGGAATTTGTCCTGAAAACTTATTGCAAAATCGCTGTATCACTCTGTACATACACGAAGTACCTTACCTGCAAGTCATTAAGCAATTGATTATGCAGATCCAGAAAGTCCTTAGCCATTGGTAGGTCGCTACCCATGTCTTGATGCCCTTGCAGGAACGCCTCCGCAATCGTTACTAACCAAGTATATATCTCATTGTGTCGCTCTAAGAAATTGTTAAGAGCCGTGTTTATCCTAATGTTCTCCTCTCTGTGGGCGGTACACAGACCGTCTAAAGTAATTTTCTTGTTTTCTAGCTCCTCCACCATACGCCTGACGCCGTCGGTGCCGGGTACACCTCTTCCTACTACGTCCAGAATGGCGTACCCCTCCGCTATGGGGGCTGCTGTCGCTTCTTCTATTGCCCTGGAGCATTGGGCGTGGAGCTGGGCAAGCTGCGGCGACGTCTTCGGTAAGTCTGTGGCAGTTAATTGTATTTCTAGTTGGTCTAACTTCGTAAGCACCTGCAACATAATTATATGAATAAGTACAATTTTATAACCTGGGTAGCCACGTTCCTTGTGTTTGAGGAGACAGTACATTTTATGTGAATACTAGCGTAATAATGAGATATATATTTTTCTTATTAAAAAGTACAAAAGGTGAATGAGAAACACTGTCGGCAAAATTTTGGCTTTTAAAAGCATTTTAAGCATTGCAGACGAGGAAATAGGATTCGTCACATGTCAAATGGAATTATTTCCTCTAAATTTTCGAAGAATCTTCAGCTAATCAGAAGAGAACGGAAGCTAGTTATGTTGATGATGACCAAATGTTGACCAAAATCATACATTGGGGGTATAGTAAAATGACAGCTAGATACATTTTTCATTTATCGCTGGATTATGGTTTCAGTTACTACCTGTATAAAATACAGTCACATTTCTTATTAGATTCCCGTTCGTGGTGCTTTCTTATGGAAGTGAATATGTAAATATGAGAAAATTTCCATAAAAACTGTACACAAATTATATTAATTTATGTAGATAAAAATGGTTTTGACTGCGTAAATATACCCCGTTGGTAAAGCTATAGTTAATATGTAATTAGTTTCGAAGTTTTCACTAGATTGCCCACGCTCAACAGGTTATAATGCCAATGCCTTTTAGTTGGAGTATGGCGCTGGTTAATGTTGTGTTGTCTCTGTTGTTTCTCGAAGGTGGACCAGAGAATGAATAAAATAATAAGTTTTTAATTTAACATTTGATATTTAGTTATATTTTTGAACAGAAAACTTGTTTTGTATTCAATAATATTTTAAATCATATAAGTTAAAATTTTTGGATTAATTCCTAGAAAACGGTTGTCAATTTCTATTTAAGTGCCAGATTTCTAGTGAAAACAGACGATTCACTTTGCTGCTTAGAAAAAAATAGTAACTTAAGATTTTAATTGACTGTATACACTAATGCAAAAAATTAAAGGGTCACAAGAATTTCCGAAATTTTTCCCTGATTTTTGACATACTGTATTTAGGTGAAAAATGATCATATCGGGAATTTAAAAAAAAGGATTTTAAAGCTCTAAGATTCTAGTTTTTAGATATTTCGGTCGAAATTTTTTAGAGCGCTACAAAAAAATTTTGCAAATTTTCTTTTTTTTGAGTTGACGGACTTGGAAAAATTTCTTTCAGCTAAGCCATTGCATGGACCAAATAGCTGGTTTATTCAGCTTCCATTTCCTTTTCTTTTAATTTCGATACGACCATTTTCCATCGAAATATCGGACTTTTAGTGGAAAAGGATCCTTTTGTCTTCAATCATCGATATCTCGGCGACAAATGGTCGTACAGAGAATTGAAGGACAGTTTCGAAAACAAGAATAAATTTCCTATAGCATGCTGCCGCAACTTTTTTGAAAATTTTTTTTTCATCTTTTACACGAATTTTAAAAAACAGGAAAAAAGTCATTTATGGTTTTTTAGAAAATTGACAGCTAAATTAGAAATACATATTCACGAAATGACTAATTTTTAGAATAATTTACAGTTTGATATGCCCAGAAGTACCCTGTGAAGTTTCATCTCGATCTAGCGAACCGTTTCTTTGTTTCAGTGAAACCTCAAAAAAATTTTTTTTGCCATTTTAATCATTATTATGAAGTGTTTAAGCTCAAAAAACGTGACCATTTCTTTTTTTCAAAAGTTTGACTGTTCGAAACAAAAAACGGTTCGCTAGATCGAGATGAACCTTCACAGGGTTCTTCTGAGTATATCGAACTATAAAAGTCATGTTTAGTCATTTCGTGAATATATCTAAAAAAACATAAATTACCCCTTTTTCCTATTCTTTAAAATTCGTATAAAAGATGAAAAAAAAATTTTTTTCTGAATAGTTGCGGCAGCATATTGGAAATTTATTTCAGTTTTCGAAACTGCTCTTTAATTCTCTGCACGACCATTTGTCGTCGAGATATCGATGATTGAAGACAAATGGATCTTTTTCCATTAAAAGTCCGATATTTCGATGAAAAATGGTCGTGTCGAAATTAAAAAAAAAGGAAATTGAAGCTGAATAAACAAACTATCTGGTCCATGCAATGGCTTAGCTGAAAAACATGTTTCCAAGACCGTACGGACAAATTTTTTTGTCGCGCTATTTTGATGCATGATAACCGTAGCGCCTAAAAAATGTTGACCGAAAGATCTAAAAACTAGAATCATAGAGCTTCAAAATGCTTTTATTAATTCCCGATGGAAAAATTTCGGACATTTTTTTGGCCCTTTAATTGTTTGCATTAGTTTACATATATCTGGAAAAGGAAACACAGATCTAAAAGGCACCAAATAATTTTAGTAACGAATTACTCTATAATTATTTAACTTATTACTCTTTATACTATAGTTATTTATTTACAAAAAAATGCTTTGTCAGTACAACACTTTGATTAACGTTAAAAACTCATAGGTGCAAATTTTTTATGTAGAAATAAATGGTACTTTGATTTAATTTAGTAACGGGAATTTTCACGTCTGTTTCGGATTACTCCCTCGCATATATGGTCCATGATCAAAAAGAGTGTTTTAATGTCGTTTTATCCGGTTCATTCCATATTTTAAGAAGGAGATGTTATTGGGTTGATTCAGATATCTTTATTGTTTTCCAGCCAAACATGTTTAATGGGATCAAAATCTGGACTCATCCTAGGTAATTGATACTTTCTTGGATTAAGGTGCTTTTGTTCTAAGGAGATGAATCAATCGATTGTACAAGTTTGAAAAGATTAGGAAAATATTACTTTTCGGGATTCTTCCAGTTTCTTCTTCCAAAAGAACTCATGTATGTACCTATAGAAAAGATGATGTGTAACTTCTCTTTTTACTAGAAATCTATCAATTTTAAGAGAAATTGACGACACATTTGTTGCGTGAAATCTATAATTAATTTAGAAATTCTGTTTCTTTTTTGGAAAGAGGGGAAAATATTTTCAAATGGAAGGTGTCATACATCCTCCACTAAGCCACTAATTTAAAAAATGAGATATTTCATGATTGTACCTTATTTCTCTATCTACTCGAATAAAAATATTGTTTGCTGATTTTTTCTTAAATAATGAATAAAACTGTTAACAGTTCCCAAACACTTCACTAAAATTGTTACAAAACTGAAGTTTGATAGACAGACATTTTGATTTTCGTTCATACATCTCAATTTTGTAATAATTTTACCTGATGATTAAAATTGTTGGAGTGTATTCTAACGTTCAATTTATATTGATAATAGCTTCTCTTGTCTAACTACGCGTGGAAAAAGTCCTACGCCAACACTATAGGTATATAATCATCATGCATGATGATGAAGCGAACTAACCCAGAAACCGTATTGTATCTCCAGAAGACTGGAACGTTTACAGCAACGTTTTTAACTAACATTAAAGACTTAATTATATAGAAATGTGTAAAGAATATGCTGTATTTTATTAAATTTCACTTACAAATACTTTTTGACGAAACAGCCAACAACGGTGGCCTGCATTCATTGGTTCATTATTGGGGTAAAATAATTTAATAAAACATATTTTGCCTTCTGTGGGTGTTTCTTGAATTTATAAACTAAGTTTTCGTGTCAACCATGGAACTTCATTTACCGCATTACTTCAGAGATATTTTTTATTAATATGGAATAGAAATCTTCTTACATTACGTCACGGTTATATTGATATCGTAATAAAAGTGAATTATGTATACACCTAGACGTGAAGGTCCGTTTAGGAAATGTATTCTTGTAATTGACATCAGCCGTAGGAGTGTTTGCAGATGTCGTAAAAGGAATAAATAGATCTTAACTGTTGCTACCGCTAATGTATACAGAGTGGATGAAATTCATGAAATAGTTTCCTCAAATATGTCTAGAGACTAACACTACAGAAGTATAAGTGTTTTTATGATTTTACTTAAAAGTTTATGTCTGGAGGCAACGTACCTCCAGAACTAATTCTCTAAATAATAAATTATATCAAAAGCATCACTTGAAACTTGAATTCCTTGTCCTAAGAAAGCCAGAGTACCTACCTATAGATGGTAACCCCTAATCTTACATTTGTTTTATTCATTACTACTGGTTGTTCGATGGAAACAAAAGGTAAAAACTCATTCTTGATAACTTCACTTGATGTATTTTTGAAAAGTTAAGGAAAAGTTTTTATTTTTTTGAGTGCTTTTTGGAGACATCCCCTCAAGTGCCAAATGATCCAACTGGTTTTTAGTGGATTCTAAACAAGTTAATTCGCGTACATAGTCGAATACGATTAGAGATATTAGACCGATCAAAATAACTCATTTAGAGAAAAAAAAAGAAAATTGTTACCTGAACTTTTATAAGTGGAAATGGTAAAGGGGCTTATAATAAACGAAAAAAAAATAAATGCGTGAGCAGGGGCTTCGGAGGGTTGATTTGGGGGGTTGAAAAGTTATGAAAAATTGTATCATTGGGATTTCTGGCGAAATGACGTCAAACAAAATCTATCTAATACAAAAGTTGTAGGTCATGCAAAAATCTACAACTTTTGTAGAAGTAACTTTTTAACATAACCTCAAAATTTCAGAGAAAAATGCGAAAAACAGGTTTTTTCTGATTTTTCGTTTTTTATTTCTCATTTCCGCAAAAATAATTTAAATTTGACGAAACTTGGTGAAAGTATACCTTTCTCTATCTTAAATAACCTCAATTTTTTAGATAAAAAAAATCAAGAAGTTTCTGAGATATTCATTTTTTCGGCCTGAAACACTTTTTTTTTCAAAGAAAAATTCTACTTAAAAAAATTATCATTTTTCCGTTTCGACATATACTTTTTCGTGAAATAAAAAAAATTGTAATCACAGCTCAAAAACATGCTCAAAAATGCAAAAAAGTAAATAATGACTTGCAACAATGAATTTTTTAGTTATTGTTGATAATTTGTTTAAATTAAAAAACATTCAAAAACTGATGACACCATTCAATTCTACGGAAAAAAAATAAAAAAAAAACTGTCTCATTGTTTGATCCAAAACTATTTTTATACAGTATTGTTATAAACATAAGTCGAATAGTGATAAATAAAATAAATAATTTTTTTTCCGTAGGATCGATTAGTGTACTTATTTTTTTAAAGTTTGATGAATTCATAGATATACAGTGTGTCCAAGATAAGGATGGCATAGCATTAGGATCTAGAAAACGGATCAGATTAGAAAAAGTCGTGTTTTTTTATACTTAACAATATGTTGTTTAGAAAGTTTTAAAATTCCTGGTAGTTCCGGAGATATCCGGAAAAACCCGAAATTTTGGTAAATTGTTTAATTTTTTCTGGCTTTATTTAAAAACGAATTTTAAAATAAATTACATATTTACAATGCCACTTTTTTCGCTCTATACAATGGCGTCAACATTTTTGCAATCCGACGTTTCGTCTTCGAAGGGCCATCATCGTGTTAATTTTTTTAAATCCGTCGCTGCTATTTTTATGACAAAATCTAGTCATTTTTAATTTTGAATTAGAGGATATTACTATTGTAATCGCTTAAAAAGTTTTTAGCTTGTTTTAGCTATAATTTAAAATTTTTACAAAAATAAAATTTTGGGTCAAACAATGAGACACAGTTTTTTTTATTTTTTCCGTAGAATTTAATGGTGTAATCAGTTTTTGAATGTTTTTTAATTTAAACAAATTATCAACAATAACTGAAAAATTTATTGTTGCAAGTCATTTTTTATTTTGCATTTTTGAGCATGTTTTTGAAATGTTATTACAGATTTTTTTATTTCATCAAAAGGTATATGTCAAAACGAAAAAAATGATTACCGGCAGAACTCTGTACGATTTTTTAAAGTAGAATTTTTCTTTGAAAAAAAAGTGTTTCGGCCGAAAAAAATTAATATCTGAGAAACTTCTTGATTTTTTTATCTAAAAAAATTTGAGGTTATTGAAGACAGAGAATGGTATACTTTCACCAAGTTTCGTCAAAATTAAATTATTTTTGCGGAAATGAGAAATAAAAAACGAAAAATCATAAAAAAAAACCTGTTTTTCGCATTTTTCTCGGAAATTTTGAGGTTAAGTTAAAAAGTGACCTCTACAAAAGTTGTAGATTTTTGCATGATCTACAACTTTTGTATTGGATACTTTTTTGTTTGACGTCAACTTTCGCCAGAAATCCCAATGATACAATTTTTCATAACTTTTCATCCCCCCAAATCAACCCTCGGCCGCCCCTGCTCACGTATTTATTTTTATTAGGTTTATTATAAGCCCTTTTACCATTTCCACTTATAAAAGTCCAGGTTTTTTTTCTCCAAGTGTAATTTGGTTGTACTATAGTTACTACCTTCACCTTTCGTTGCCCTTAATCTGTTATATTTCACAACAAGCTGTTTATTTTAAATAGGATGAAGTTTTCAATCTCGTTCAGGATATCGTTCATTTGGCCTAGATGCGGTTAAAGACGAAGACGTAAATATGCCATTAACATGTAAAATATCACCTGCTCTTTTGTTGTAAAAATTAAATAATGACGTAACTAAGCCCGAGATTATCTATAAGTAATATTCAACATTATATTGGAATGCAATAAATTGACAGGCATCTGGTAGATTTCTAAACGGGCGTTCGCGAAAAGGTCGTGCTAGAAAACCAGTACTGTATAAAATAAACGTATCATTAAACTGTCTCCCAGCAAACACAATGCACCACACCTAACAATGCAGCTATCATTATAAAGATTGCAATCGTAACCACGAACCGTTTGCGCTAATCTGAAGAATGCAATTACGCGTTCAAGCAATGATTCCCTGTTCTGCAGATCGGTGAGATAGTCGGAGGTTGTGGAGAGGACGACGTATGATTGCGCGGTGGCCTGTTCCCCAGCGAAGCACCCGGAAGCCACCAGCTGTTCCGTGGCTTTGGTTATTTTTAAGGCCCTCTCTTGGAGCTGCTTCGCTTCGGGCAGTAACTTCTTGTGTTCGTGCAACAATAATTCTGCACTCGAGGATGAGTCGCCTGGAATTAGAAAATTTGTTTACTATCGGTCAATAATAAATAATTACGGGCATATGCAGGTGCAAATGAATGATGTTACGTAATGGTCTCGAGATTGTGCGGCTAGTTTGAGTTATGACTCATTTCGTAGCCGTAAAATCTGTAAGTATACGTTTATGGGTAGACTTTTATGATTATTGTTCAGATTGTTTTATTCTGAGAAATGTCATGAGCTAATACCTTAACAAATAAGCCCTAAACAATTAGAAGAAACTAAGTTCTTGACGTTTTTAGGGAAAATTCTAATTATAGATTAAGTCCTCTCGCCGGTATTTATATTTGTTGTCCGCATTAATCTATATCGTTCCAAAGAATGTTTCGAAGAATCTCAAATAACGTTTACTATACTTTCTGAACCACCACAAACAACCGAAAAGAACAACTTAAACTTATTAGATTTCTAAGTATTTCATATTTTTTAACTGACGATAGTGAAACAAAACTAAACGGCGATTATTGATTACAGTGATTACAATTCTAACTTCGACTTACCGTATTGATTACTGTTGGCTAACAACTCACGACGGTTATGGACTGTCTCTTCCAAATCTCTCAAGTCCGCTGCCAGTAAAGCCAAAGCAAGGCATTGTTCTAGCTGAGTCTTCCGTCTGTTGAAAGTCGCTTCTAGAATTTGCCTTTTTAGATGAAGCTCATCTAGCCAGCCTTGTACTTGTGATATCGCTGAAAAGTAAAAGTTGGATTTAGATATGAATAATTACATTTTGTATATAGCGGCCTTATTTTGACATAGGAGATGAACAGTTTTCGACAAAATATTGTTGCTTAAAAAATAGATAATTATATTTCACTGTAAATAAGACAAAATAATATTCACACGAAGAAAAGGAAATGCTTTAAAGACTTATTAAATTTGTGATTTAATGACAAACAGGGTAATTAAAACTACAGTAAAGTAACAGTACAAAATTGTTCAAGAATGTAATGTGTGCTGTCGCTATGGTTCATTACTGAGAAACTCTTTTGCACTCACAACCTGCTGTTGCGGATATAGAAATATATTAACCAATTAAAGGGAAAAAACGAAATTAACGTATAATTTCATTAAAGAGTAAAAGAGGGGTTATATGCATATGGATAAATAGAAATAAATACAAGTTACCTACTAAAAATGTGGAGGAATGTGAACTTTACAGAAGCACAAGAATAAGTAACAATCTTATTCTTATGACAGAAGTGTAAGTTAAATAGAATATAATCTATGTTTTGATGGTGATGGAAATTGAAAATTGTTGAAACTGACTGAAAGTATTTGTTTATTCATTATCTTCATTAATGATCAGTCATTAATCAATTAAATAATAATTCATACATTTTATTAATTCTTTGGCAATATATTTGCTAGCTGAGGGTATTTATGTTCATAGGCTGTTGGAGATAGATAATTGGTAGCGTATTTGGTTATTGGCAAAGTCTATAGATAAATAAAATACACTGCCTATATCAAATAATTTTCTATATATTTGTTCAGGTTAAATGCTTTTATCCAGATTTGAATTTGGAACGAAGATATTGAGGCAAAAATTATAAAATTTAACCGAAATAGATAATTACAAAATAGTTAATAGCTTTAGAGGTTGACATAAATTAATACATACTAATTTTTACAGACGTTCCTGAAAAAATATAAATATTTTATTTTAGTTAAAATTTGAACACCACGTATCTTGGAAACGAAACATTTTTATTTTGATACGTGCGGCCGTATTCTTCATTTTTTGTTTCAATATTCTATGGGTACTTAAGTATATCCCTTATATTTACTAAATCTATTTTTTAATATACATAATGTTAAAATTTCATTAAAGGAAGTACTATTTTCTAAATACAATTTAAATCTATATAAAAATTTTGTTCATTTTAAACTTTTCAATTCTATACTGTTAGACATTCGTCAAAGGGAAGGGATTTGGTGAATTAGACAAAAATTGATAAGCCACATATGAAATACAAAAATGGCAATTTTTCTGTTCGTTTTGGAATAAAAAGTGCAATTTAGATTTTTCCAATCGTTTCTGAATAAAACATAATTATGAAAACGTTTTATGGTTATATTGAAAAATATAATATAATGTAATATAATATAATATAATAGTGCCGCCCCTAGATAATAGAAAACAGTTTTAAAACGTGTATATGTTTGATGCAACTTATTTGAAACTTTTTTCATATTGCCAGATAATATCATTATCAGACCTGCAGAGAAATACATTATAAGTGGAAAGGCTCCAAATTTTTTATTGGAAAATAAATGGTTTTAATAAATACATTTTATTCGGTATCGGTCAAGTTAAGAAAGATGCTCAAGACCATTTTTTTTGTAAAATTGTCAATGGTGTATGTGTTTCAAAGAAAACGTTTATATATAGTAATATTTTCTTATTTATAATGATTTATAAAGAATCTTATTATTTTTCAACAAAAACTTAAAATATCGGCTCAATGATCTGTAAAGCTTAATCGTTGAAAACATTGTTTTATTTGTGGACACTGTGTATTACATTTTAAACTTTTTAAGTTAATATAAAAACTAGTACATACACAGCTGCTATTTTACAACAGTCAGGGCTAAAATGGTCGTTAGAAGCCCTATTTAAACAGCTACAATTTCAACATTTCACTATTTCTGATTGGAAACATTTTATTGTCCACAGCTGTAACAGTGTAACACAGCTGTAACACAAAAACAGTGTCGCAAAGCATAAAAGCGCAGTGCAATTATTGTTAAGAAAAAGGTTTTTGATTGAAAAGTTCCTTCCAAACAATATTTTGTTCGACACGGACCTTTCAATAAAAAATTGTATAGGTAATTAATTTTATTTGCCAGAGTTTAATTATGTTGTTCTTGCTATCATTTAACGCTGACTTTTAATTAAATTAAACGAGAAAAACGACTCACCTCGATTTACGGAACTTCGAATTCGATCGGGTCTCGAGTCGAGTGTGCCTTCGGCTCCAAGTTCTTTCAGCTTTCCCAGTAAAGAATTCCCGGCCTGCAGAGCACCCATCAGGGACTCCAACAGGGCCCTTCTCAGCTCGTGTATGGTCGTGAGGAAACCCTTTACCGCTCCTATCTCTATCGGTAAGACCGTATCCGTGCAAGACGCTTCGAGGGCGTCCATCTTTTCGAAGAATTCCTGGGCTTTGGTGTGGTATTGCACGTTTAAGTCTAGGATTTGCTTTCGGAGTTCGAGTGTAGAATTGATGTCCTTCCAGGCCCTTCCGAGGGACTCTGCCATGGCCGCGTACACTTCGGCTCTGGGTTTTTGCGTGGCAATGAGTTGGTCCGCTTGGCGCAGGAGTTCCTCCACGGGGCTCTGTTTATTCTGTAAAAATAGATAGTTTATTTTTGATAATTCGCTTCTTACAACTGAATAGAGAATAAAAGGGAAACAAGTCCACAATAAGTAATTTTTAAAAAACTTTTTATCTTGAAAATTGTATAAATAAAAGTAAACAGACGGAAAAATGAATAATATGCATTATTGACAACACGTGCATCGCTAAAGGAAAACGCTCAACTTCTATTTTAAAGAGACTTTTATCTTTTTATAATAAAAAAGCTTATGTCTTGCAAAAGATGTAATAAAATTTCCAGGGTCGTATTTAAAAAAAATGAAGTTGATGATGGTCCTGGAGAGACGAAACGTTACATATGAAAATTGATTATGCCATTCGATAGAGGGCAAAAAGTGGCCATGAGAAATTGTTCTTCTTTTTTTCAATATCACCTCAAACAAGGCTGGAATGAAACAAAAACGGATTTCCAAAATTTCGGTTTTTTTCAAATATTTCGAAAACTAATCATATTAGCCTTGATTTTTTGGAGGCATAATGTTGGTCCCCTGATTATGCAACTTTGCCTCCATTTCAGCTAGTTCGTATCTCTTACCGTTTTCGAGATTCCTGTTGTGAGAAGCGAATTTGTAACAGCCTGTGTAACGATCTATTCACTTTAGGTGGTGTATTTTCTCAGAATATTTTTGTTATACAACTAGAAATACAGGCGAATTTATGAGGCACTATCACAAAGCTAATCAATCCTGTGTGGCATCAAATGAAACATTTCTGGCACGTTTGTGATCATTAATTTCTATTATTTTGCGTCCTGTGTCTTCCAAACTTCTATTTATTAGTTTAATTCAATTCCGAATGCCAGTACTATGAATAAATTTAGATTGGTGTACGAAAGTACAAGAATAATAAGTTGACCTCTTGTCGAATATTGAAATATGTCACTCAAAGTACATATCGTCACCTCAGTTATACTGTTGTATGTCGCATTTTTGGCATTTTTTAGTTATTAGCGCTACAAAGTTGTATGTCGGTAAAACTTTTTTTCTGTGGAGGCACAAAGTTGTATCTTAATAGTTTTGATGCAGGCAACCAGAATTATAAAATTGTATGCATCCAATACAACGTTTTTACGGTTGCATAGTGGTATGTGGTACTTACACTCTGTTAACCTCAAGAATTTTATTATCTTTCGGTAACAAAATTGTATGTGTCACAACAACTACATTGTTATTTTAAATATAACTTCTGTAACCATGAAATTCTATACTCCTGGTCACTCATGTAACCAAGAAATCGATTCTGTACATAGTTGTATTGAAAGGGTATTAAATAAAACGGAGTATTATTCACCCTTATCTCTGTTACGAATTCTACTAAAAGTGAAAAACCGTATAAAATTATCCAATTAAAGGAAGATGATTTTAAAGATTATAAAGCATGTGCTTCTTTATATAATTACAAATCCGTTCCTTTTAGCCACGTCGTTGCCTTAAAATTCACGCAATCTCAATTTGAAGTAGAATAGAATATAAAATAAATCATGCACTAAAAAAATGGGAAAAAAGTTTGTATTCGTGATATCCGACCTACAAGATCTGATGCTGCAAGAACCAGCAATAAAATGCAACTCCCATCGCGTTTATCTTTTAATGAATCCATTCCCGAAAATAAAATACAAGCTCTCAAAAGTATGTTCAAATGGATGCCTGAACATATTATACAGCAATATTTCCAAAATAATTTTCCTCTGCTCTTAATTTTGTTATATTAAATGTGTTTCTATGAATAATGTGTTAACTTTTTCGAAAAATGTCTGTAAGGATTACTTTTTTTACGTTTATAAAAATGCAAAGTTGTATGTTACAGGCAATTTGGCAATAAAGATTTTTATTGAGATAACATAGTTGTATGTTTTTTTTAATATCTGAATTTTAGCATAAAAACTTTTTTTTCTAAGTTTTGTACATGATGCTTAGTAACTTGTACTAAAATCTAGCTAATTTAATTGTATCAAAAATGTATCTTTAGCACTGCCGGAGTTGTAATAACCAAAATTTTGTTTTTCGTTTTTCTCAAAACTAGGTTCAGTGCACATACAACAGTATAATTCTGAGGTGACGATATGGCGTTGTGTAGGCAATAATTATATGTTTGTGGTATGGAAAAATTTTCCGGTAGAATAATGAGTAGTATACTATCACGAGATTTCTAGAATATGGTGTCCATAGGCGGCACTTTGTTGGTGGTTTACTTATCTTTCTCTTTGATTTATTAACATCTACCAACCATTTTGTTGTCGTCATACTCAAATCATCCTGTAGAAATATAAAATCGCATTGTAACTGATTTCTATTATTTTTATAAGAATGATTTATTAAGCTATATTCTTTATAATTTATTTGTGAAGCTCTAAATACAATTTCATCTATATATTTTATTGGACAATATAGAATCTTTCTATTGTTGATTGTCATAACAGATACACTGTAAAAAAAGGTAATGTTAATTTATTTTTAGATAAATCGTAACCAAAGAAGAGGTACATATTGAAACTCCTGTACTATAAAAAAAAGATAGAACTTGAATGAGGATACATTGTTTTGATGCACGAGTAAAATAATAATTTTTTTATTCCACTTGACATATTTTTACAGAAACTGTAAAAAAATTGCTTGCTTTCCAAAGGTAGTATTCATGTTGTAGCGGAATATTAAATATTTCTTGAGGTTCAATCACCATGTGGAATAAATACTGTACAAATTAAATTATCTTGCATTGTATTCAAAAGTACATCAATTAACATTATTTCGCCGATAGTTATCTAAATATTTTCGAAATATATGAATATCTGTTTGTTATTTTGAATAAAAGAATAATACTATTATTACTGACACGAAATTTGAGCTTGAAACTAAAATCTCGTATTATTTAGTGTTACGTTTATCATTAGAATATGATTGCTCTACTACAAAATTTAATTGTTTGCTTCCCATGGTCTTTAAAAGTAGATACTGCCTACAATTTTTTAAATAAAAGTGTGTAAAACTCAAGTATGTTGTGTTCTAAAAAAAAATTCAAAATTGAAACTTTCAACAAGTGTGAAAGATATAGGTAAAGGCTAAATAGTTTAGTGCCCTACTCTGAAGATTGATCATATTTGACATAAATTAAATACTATTATTACAAATACTAATTAGAATAGCTATAAAAAAACGTATAATTGTCCAGTTTGGAATACCCCCGACAAAAATTTTGAGTGGGTGTATTACGTGGGCATTGCATATGAAGAAATAGAATCCCTAAGTCACACAGTATAGTTAAACTATATACATAATCAATTCGTATATGTAAATAAATGTATGTTAACTTAAGGTTATCGTACGTCATTTAAATAAAAATATGTAATATGTATATTAAAACAATTTTTTTATGTTGTCACCATACTTGTAACCTTATTCGTAATGCGTTTTTAATGTTCAGTAATATTTTTATAGGACTGGACAAAATAAATGAAAATTTTAATAATTGTTTATATCATGTTTCTTGAAACAGGTTAATTTTTAATTTATTTTAATATTTGAGATAATCTTTCTACAAAAATAACAGTTAATGGATGATTATCGTCACTTATTCTTTTATTTGACATTTTCCTCGGTTTTGGCATTATCTAACTTCGCATTATTTTAAGAGAAAGTTTTTTGGCATCTAAAAAAATATGAAAATAAAATAACTCAATGACCCTCAATATATTTACATATTAATTATATTACAAAACTAAATGTAAAATAAATGTGTCACCACTGCTTAGTATTGCGATACGTAGATATATTTGTATAGTTACAGATACCTAACATTTTTTTTTACTTTCATAAATCAAATTACTGACATGGTGTTTCACAACCTGTTAAATAACTATTTAATATTTACCGTGTCTTTATCATAATAATAAAATAACTGTGGCGGTGAAAGGCCTTACATGTTTTAAAAATATGTTTTGTTAATCGATTTTGCAATATGTTAAACCTTTTATAATATAAAAATCGTTGAAGATGGTATGAATTTATGGTATTGATTTTATATGAGTATTGACATTTTTGTCAGAGAGTAACAATGATTCTTATGTTGATATGTGATCAACCGTTCGCACTATGTGCGAAGAGAAAATGACTATACTGAATATTATACAAAACATTCATATCTTTAATCATATCACTGCAAATATAATGAAGAATCTGACTATATGCTAAATGACAGTAAGTTTTATGAATGATACTAAATTATTATTTTTTGAAGAATTTTAACAATGTTGAAAAATATAAAATATATGGAATTTATGTGTCCTACATAATTTTTAAACATCATGGCAACTGAAACCATTTCGATATGTAGCCTTAGTTTCAGGTAAATACATAGGTACTAAAATAATCGCCCTACTTTCGAAAACATTATATAAGTAACTGTAACTCATTAGCATTAAAATAACACTTCATAAGTTAAATTGTGTTGATGTATAAAATCAAAGAAAGCAAAATATTGAAAATCGTATATTTTCGGTAAAAGATGAAAACAGTTCAAATCGATAAACACAAAATGCTTTATGATTCACTTAACACTTGATATCAGACATTTCGTATATCCAATAAAGGATCCCCGGAAATTCGAAACCGGGCAAAAGATATTTTTAGTGCAATACCAAGTAAGTTCCAATACTGAAAACCTAAATAAATAAGCTGTACTTTATTTGCCCTGACGGTTGAGAAACGTTGATCTATATTAAACACAGACAATTCGATTTATGTAGACCGTGAAATATTGTTTGCAAATATAATTCTGGATTACATTCCGCGAAGTTCAATAAACGCAGAAGGAACTGCAAGTAATGGTATCACCAAGAATGTTAGAAATTCTAACCCCCGTAGTATACAGTGTGTTTCCTAATTAAATGCGTATATTTTAAGGTGTACATTCACTATTAACTTTGAAAAAAAACTACATATATTTTTAATTGTTTTTCCACATACACAGTTTGAGTAATTTCGACTTATAGTTTTAAAAATGTTTTGCAATCTGTTTCATATACAGTATTATGATATTCATAAGGTAGGTTATGAATATCATAACCTAAAAGACCACTGATCTATATATCACCGATATACGGTGGTATTCCAAGGTGACATTTTATTGGAGATTGCCTTTTACCTTCCAAATTTTTTTCACGACGATCTTGATCGCATTTTAACGAAGAATACGTCTCTCTGCACCAAAATTTAGCCCAAATTCTTCCTGCTTTGCATTCGCTTTAATAATATCTTAACCAGTGATATTTTTGGCGGTTTAAACATAGTTGTGGCCTATTGTTGGAACTTTATTGGAATTACGCAACTCATTATCTTGTCTATCATTATGGGTTGAAATTTATTTATCAGTTTTCAGTCATGAATAAAATCCGAAAGCAAAACAGCTACCTGCGCATTAGAATGTATATTGTACAAATTGCATTTAGAATAACCATACTTATTTTATCCCAAAACTAAAATTAGTCAGATTACGTCAGTCAACACATAAATAATACACAGAATCTGTAGGTGGAATTTTGCGGTGAAACCAATACAAGAATAATTAAATTGCGTATTGTAAATATAACTTGCAGAAAGCTAATTAAAAATGTGTTTAAAACTGTTTTGGAACATGTATTTTATCGCGTAAGAGTACTTACAAAAAATTCTGTAACACTTTTTACGAGTTTGTAGGTTTCTTATGAAGCCGGACTGAATTCGAGAGTCAGTTTGTAATACATTGTTGTAGTGATCGCTGTGATGTTTTTCCTCACGAATTATGTCGTGATGCCTTTCAGCAACAGTTTTCAGTGAACATGTGGGCTGGTATCGTTAATGACACTTTGACAATGCCGGAGTTATTGGAAGACGTGCCATTAAATGTTCGGCAAAATATGTGGTTACTGCATGACTGAGTCCCCGTTGACTTTTTTCGGAGAGTGCGCGACTTTCTAAACATTACTTTTCCCGGTTCCCGGACCTCGCCCCTTTAGGCTTTTTTTTTGTGGGGATATTTGGAAAGTGTTGTGTATTCCACGGATGTTCGTGACATCGAACAGTTGCCATTTTATTACCGAAGCTTGCGAGCGAATTGGATACATCCCGCTGAAGCTTGTGTGCAAGCAAATGGAGGGTACATCGAACATCTTTTATGAAAATCAGCAGTTCTGAAAAGGTGGCTCCTTGCAATGGTAAGTCGGATTTTAAAATTACATTTTACTCGACACAAATCCGTGTATTTACCTCATTTTAAACATATGGCAAAATATTTGACATAAATTCATTAGCTCCCTGTATACCATAATGCAAAAACATTTATATGTAGCTATTCGTTATTGAAGTAGATAATTTAAAATTTCTGGTCGGATAGTTATTGTTTTTGTTTTGATTATATACCACCATTCGATTACAGTGTCAATTATTTTGATGAGAGTTTCTAAATTCTCCTACATGCTTAATAATGTTGGCCAATATTTTTGTGCAATATTTCCAGTTACTGCTAATGACTCAATGATTTTGTGCAATATACAGGGTATTCCGAAAATAGTTAAAAAAAAGGTTAGAACGTCATAGAACATCAAAAAATTAGATATAATATTTTCTTATGGATCATTTGGTAGAGATAAGTTTCGAAGTGTACTAAATACATCACCGGCTATTCTATCTGCCCCAGTGACATTTTTTGTGTGTCCATGTGCAATATTGTAGCACAAAATTCCAATTTGTACTTTTATTGAAATCGCTGAAAGTATACCGTCTTTAATAAAAATTGACTGTCCCAAAGCCAATCAGCTTTTGTTCCTTAAGGTAATTGTCCCAAAACGAAGGGCATCTTCACTAGATGGAAATATATTGATGCAATATTTGCTTCCTTAAAAAGTTACGGTCAATCAAAAATGTTTTGTATCATTTCTTTTCCTCAACATCCTGTATTATTTGATTCCTCAAAACTGAGATAAAATGAAATATCAAGTGTAAATCTTAACAGTTTGCAATACACTAAAAATACAATTAGGTAATCATTAAATAAATTTCAAACAAGCTCAGTCTTTAATCAATAGATACGCAATAATATTGCCCAATCTCAAATATTGTACAACGATATTGATCGTCTAGAGGGGCCTTAGCAGTTACTAAAATACACAGAGCAGACCGAGTATTTAATGTTTTTTACAATTTATTGTGTATGCAAATAATATTTATAAATGTGCTAACAACATTGTTTTTCATATTCAACTCATCTAAAAGTCAAATTAAATTGATGAGTTACGCCTTCACTATTTTTAAAATAAAATTTCTGACATACATTGAAATGATAGAAAAATCGCTTCTAAATATCTAACGTTCTTTTATTACATTCTAAATAGTTTATCTGTCTATTCTTAATTTCATATAGTGTATTTTCGAATTTATAATTTTAAACCATCTAATGACACTACTGTGATTGTTTATAAGTAGTACTTACTTGTAATTGACGCAGAACTTCATCGTGAGCTTTTTGTAATTCCAAAGCTTCGGCTAGATTGTCTCCTAATGCGGTTAACTCTGGCGTCACTTCCAAAATCTTGAGATTAATCCAATCACCACACTGCAACAAAAAAGAACAGTTAAAATGTGATAAGAAGAATCATTGTGTAAGATATAAAGAAACTAAAATTTCACTATACATAAAGTACTTGGGCAAGGTTAATATTTAATTTGATTTGTTTACTTCTTGGATTTTTTTAAATTAAGTTATAAACTGTTATTTGTTGTAATTAGAAAATGTTATTCTTCTGTTTAATAAAATTTTAGTTAAAGTAAGAATCAAAAAGAAATAATCAAATACATTTTATTAGTTGGATTTACGATATTCTATCTTCGAATTTATTGCATGTGTTTTTCTTCTGTTTTTCGCATATTTTTATTTCATATTTCTATAAATCGTTCTAGTTGTGTTAATCTTGTTTGTCTCTTTTCCTTTGTCACCTTAAAAAATATTGTCTAAGATGGATATTATGTGTCTTAAACGTAAATATTATTATATATTTTGAACTTCTGGTTTCACTGAATGTTTTATTACCAAAATTGCTCATTTTTGTTTTATCCCAGCCTTCAAAGAATACTGAGGGAATTAATGAAATTGCTTAAAATTTAATTAAAGAAGAGAAGTCTTATTGGTCACGACTGCTTTACTTATGGTGACAAGAAATGGCCAGTATTAATGTCAATGACACCAATCTCTATACTTTCAATGAATTTGATTTGTCATTTTTATTAGTTATTGTTGGTAGTTTTATTTATGACATAATATAACTTTAGCAACTGTACCTAATGTTATTGGTGATTATTATTTTCCAATTAAAAAAATATAAATATATACTCAGTGAGTAGAATAGAGTACAAATTTGGTTTGCACTTGCCCACATTTTGCTGTTAGCGAAATCTTTCGACCAAAACGCGGATGGGAACAAATCTTACAGCATCAAAGTTAATTAGAAACAAAACCGTAACCACTTTATTGGTTATGGTGCTATGTTTACCGTGTTTATGTAATTTATGCTAAATCTATTGTTAAAGTAAGGTAAGATCTTTCTAATAGAATCACAACGAATCGTAAATATTCAAGGATTATTTCTTATTCAATAAACATACATTCGTTTAACAACATGGAAGAATGTCAGCAATATTTAGTAACATTGAAATATTAATTACTCAAACATACTATTTGTTTACAATAGACACTTTTTATAGTAACAGTAAAAGTTTGAGTGCTGGCTAAATGAATTATATTTTCCAAAAATAAGTCTTCCAGAATCTTCTTGTTTATATTTGCTAATGAAACTGTCACTTCATGATTGAGAAAAATCTATGTAGCCGTTAATTAAGTAACCAACGTAATTAACTTTCTTAGAATTAGACTAAGCTGCAACAAATAACAAGTGATTTATTTTTTGGCAGATGTAAGTTGGAAATATATCAAGATGTTAAGTTTTTACTCCAAGTTACTCACCAGAGACGTGACTCATGACAGACTACACTAAAAGCATGAAAAAGTTTCAACATAAGATCCAGAGCAATGACTTTAATGATAAATATTAATGTTGTTACTTCATACTTAATTTACTTAACGAAAGGTCTACACTTATTTGAATAATAAATATATCAAAATCGTTTCATAATGCCAAACTCTCCTTATTTGACTTTGCTCTGGGCATTACTTCAATAAAATCGTTCCATTTGCTTATTTACAATTATTTTCGACTGTACAATAATTTGTATTTTATTTGTCGCATTAAATTTCTTTTATCAAGCAAAAATGACTGAAAAATGGATAAATATAGGTTTAATACCTTCAATAACTTAAAAAATAGGGGAGTTAGTAATAAAATATAGGGCATTCCTTCCTTGTGATATTAGAAAAATAACACATAAAAACCTTATGCCGTACAAAAATAACGGTTCTGAAAAGAATAAAAAATTTTAATTTTCCAAATATTTTCACTAATGTAAAAATTATAGAAAACTGTACGGCGTGCCCAATTTTAAATAATTTGTGCGATAGTGAAGATCGCACTGAAGAAAATATTGATGAAGGTTTCCGATAGTGTTTTGAAAATGTATCTCTTTACCTCATCGAAGAGAATACTAACAATACGAGAATGATTTTCGAGGACGATCTTCAGGAATATCAAAGTTTCATAGCTACATTTTACCTCCTAGCCATTTTTTTATTAGGTTATACGCAGACCAATAGAGTATCTACTGGAAGGAAAAAGTCCAATGAATCATCCCTGCACTTGAAAAATTACAATCATTTTTCTTTGGTTTTTGTGAAATTTTAGGGATCTGATTCAGTTTGATGATTTTGCCATGCACCATTCGCTTGCAATTTCCTACAAATTATAAAAATTTTCGAAAATGTTTCGTTTTAATAGAAAATGGATATAATATTGGAAAAGAGTGCTTGTCATATGTATTTAAAAAAATGTGGATGATGTCGATGTGGATATGTTGTAAAAATAGAATGTGATGAATCAGATTTTCAACTTGACGTTAAACTGAGCCATATCCGACAGACTAGAACAATAAATCATATAATGAGATGATGCATGAACATATTATGTAAAATATAAGTAGGTGTGAGACATAACAAACTTATGAAGTAGCAGTAGATAATCTATAAAACCAGTTCGGGATGAACCTAACACATCTGTAAAAAATTTCAAATACTTATTATTTTCATGCAGATGAAATATGTAGCAATTTCTAGGGATGCAACATTATTTTTGAAAAGAGACGCTCACTGTATTAGTCGAGTTAACACATATATAACTATCTCCACTGCCCAGCATATATCCATCGTCTGATGTCTGATTTTACGTTTTCTATTCAATTAATGCAGAGGTGTAAGGATACATGTACCTAATTATTACTAGCAGACACGCCAACCGGACAGAATGGAAAGGAGAAATACGCGTTGCGCTAGTATGGAGGATCATTAGCTCTATACTGATTAATTTGATCCACATCACACGAAGGAAATTAAGGCGCACCTACAAATGAGCTGCTTCCAAGTTTTAATCTCCTAACTTAACGTGATTTGTTTAAAAATCACCTTCTTAAAGATGTATCTTTTACAAATCTTAGATAATTAGGCACAGTACGTTTATAATTGTTCTACATATTTAATAAAGATCATTATTAGGATCCGTTGTGCTGTTTATGTTGCGATCAGGCAGTAATATTACTGAAAAAAGCAAGTTTCAAAATGGTAGTTCTTTTAGATTTCCAGCAAATGAACTAGGATTGGATATAGATTTGGTGCCAGAAACGATAAAACTCGTCAACACTGTTTTGTATACCTTTCTAACATGTTCCAGATGTTTCTGAGCATTAATTGAAATCATGTAAAAGATCTGCTAAAATATTATAATATAAATAAACTAAGTACAAAAAATGGCGCAAGGTTACTTTATTGAGTGTCCAATTATTAACGGTTTAGATGTTACAGGTTGTTGGATTTAAAAAATTATTACTGGAAATGGCTCAAAAAGAACGAACAAACATTTATTTATTTATTGACCATGTAATAAGGTTCTTAAATTACACTTTTTGTGTTTAAAATGAATAGAATATTCAGTCAAATATGAGTTTATAACCTCTTTCACCTTGCAACTTTAAAAACAATGAGAATTTTACGCTAGATTATGTTAATCATTTTTAAGGGCAAGATGGATCCTTTGGCTAAGCCGTTAGTCTGCCATGGATGCTGTAGGATTGGTACGGCCTGTCGCAGTGCGTAACGTCAGTAACTTTGGTTTAAAATGAATGGAAAACGCAAATAACGTAATGTTTTGAGTAGTAGACATCCATAGAACAAATGGTTCGTCGGTCTTCTCACCTAAGACATACTGATGAGAACTTACAGGTTGAATATTGGTAAGTTGACTCTGCTGACGAATGATTTTAGCCCTAACAGTATACAAAACATAATGTTGAAACTCTTGTTAGTTCTTGAAGTAACTAATGATTATTTCCATGTATTTTATGTCCTCAATTCAATTTTTAACAATTTGTACAAAAAATTTATCTCTACCAAGAACATAATTAATTCCTTTTTAACTTCATAACGTTTAATCGTTAATAATTGGTTAATAAGACAAACTTTTGGCACTCTATCTTTCTCTATTTTTTACACTTGTTCTGCGTTACCCTCTATACTAATAATAATGCCAATGTGGATGATAATATTTACGGATTGTTGTTCAAGGAAGCAATCGTTCATTAAAACAGAATATATCAAATGGAACACTATTTCAATATATTATCAAAATGTACGCAATACAGAGGCATATAAATTTGAATAATGATCTTTATTTATCCTGTGAACTGCATCCGCAGAAATTTACATAAGAATGCGTTTCTATCAGCTTCTACTAAAGGCTAACAAGAATAATTTTTGTTCAGAGTTAACTATACCACCTCTATAATAAACGAGTGGAAGAGAAGGTGTATCTTGTGTAAGTATAAAAGTTTTGAACTCCATCTGATGTATCTCTTGATGACGTGCATTAGTTTGGAAAAACAAGACCCACATGTTGTAATAACCCAAATTATGGCGATGAACAGACGCGAAAACGCGTGCCTTATATAGCACCAAGGTGACACAGAAATTATAGGTTATTTTGAAAGCGAAGGTGAGCACCAAGGAGGATATGCAAATAAGTATTATACATTGCTTACGATGCGTTACATAAAAACTATTTTCGGATATAACATTTATAAGGTTTTCGGTGAAACGTCGTCTTTTTTTAATGGCGCGCTTGGTTGCTTACACCGCAATACAATTTGCAGGGTTCCCACGAAATGCAAATACATTGTTCTATTCACAAGAAACAAATTTTTATTTCGACAAAAGAAATGAACACGTGAATGGGTAATGCAAGTTTTGTTTATGGTTTACTGCTTGACGCAAATATGGAAAAGATAAACTTCTTTATAGTTTTTGGAACTACATTACTTATATCTCCAAGGGCATCTATAACAGCTGCATTATTAAAAATTTGTTTTTATAATAATACCTGTAAGAAAATTATTCAACAACAA